ATTTTCTTTTCAAAAACTTTACCGTTTGTCATAAAATTTGATTGAAAAGGGAGAAAGCTTTCATATTATACATGTGTATAACTTGGACAAGACCTTTCTAAATACGTGTACACTGTACATAATTTTTGACCCCGTGACCTTGAAGTGTTTACTTTTAATAAATTTTAACACTACATTAAATTCGTCAAAACATTTGATAGAGAGAAGGTAGAAATTTCATTTTATACATGTGTCTTACCTGTGACAAACCCTTTCTAAATACATTATGATGTTTGACCCAATAACTTTGACCTTGAAGTTTGACCTTCTTTTCAAATACTTTAACCTTGGTCATACATGTAGCATTTTTATGAGAAATGTCGGTCATAAGCTCTATAGAGCTTATGTTACTTGTCTTAAAAATCCTACCCTAAATAAAATTTTCTAATTCTGAGAAGAGATAGGGCTTTCATATTATACATGTGGATAGCATGTGAAAAGACCCTTCTAAATACACTATGATTTTTGACCCCGTAACCTTAAATTTGACCCACTTAAAAAACTCTTACATTACTTTAAATTGGCCATTACATTTAGAGAAAAGGTAGGATTTATATAAATTATATGTGTATTAACTGTGAAAAGACCTTTCTAAATATACAACAATTTTTTTATCACGTAACCTTGACCTTGAAGTTTGACCTTCTTTTCAAATACTTTAACCTTGGTCATAACATTTAAATGAGATGAGATAAGACTTTCATATTATACATGTGTATAACCTTTGGCAAGATCTTTCTAAATACACTGTGATTTTTGACTCCGTGACATTGAGGTTTGACCTACTTTTCAAAAACTTTAACCTTGACTGTAACATTTGAATGAGAAAAGCTGGGCCTTTCATATTAAACATGTATATTACCTTTACACGACCTTCCTCAATACACTGTAATTTTTAACCCCACAACCTTGACATTGTTTGACCTAATTTTCAATTTTTTTTTATTTTGGTGATTACTTTTGCATGACAAATGATCTGGCGTACATAGTTGACACAATATGTCATAGATAATGGCATCCAAACCAATAAGACCTCAATTCTTTGAATTTGGTTGTATTTAATTACGATTCCGAATAAATATGCCAACATCCATGCTAAATCATGGAACATATGAAAAATAGTAGGACCAACTTTTATGTTTTACAATGTTATGAGATACATGTAGCTTAGGATTTAGCAGATTCGTTGTTGCATTTGGAAATGGACCGTTCTTTTACAAATTAATCTCAGACAATACGACACGAAGGATAGAAAACCTTTGAAGACATTCTAAAATTAAATCAAACAAATACTCGGTGCTCCTCTTAGCATGTTTTTAAACGGTTAATTGCAGTTAAACAAAGGCAATGCAAAGATGCGTACATTATTTAGTCCCTTTAAATTCTTTAAGAAAAGATATCCTCTAAAAACAAATAATATGCGAGACGGCTGCATTGTCATACGTTAGAAAAAAATTCTTTTTACCTCTAACTTAATATCGACCATTTTCACCCAAACTACCCCAATTTAACTTTTCTTTTTATAACTTTTGCTTTTACAAACATTTACACAAGTTCGTTTGTTGATAAGAAGTAGTAATTTAGGCCCGCGACTCCTAGTTAATTTGAGGCAAACGAACAGGAATAAGTATATGTTGGTAAACTTTTCCCGAGTACCATGAGATTTGGTGCCGAGCGAAGCGAGGGACCAAATTGAATGGCAAGGGAAAAGTTTAACAACATACTTAGTACATGCTTCACACGAGAAATTAAACCCTTTGTGTCTCTGTCTATTTTATTACAAATCTTTGCGTGTTTCTTATTATTTTATCAAGATAACGATAGTGACCCTGGCTGTTGCCATTTAGTACAGGCCCAGATGTGATAATTATACCCTCGGGGTAATATCTACCTGTCAGGTGACGGTCTACAGTGAGTAGTTTTCAAACACAATACAGGTTCATTTCTATAGATTAAAAAATCTCTGTATGAAGATAGTCAAGTAATTTTAATGGACTTTAATGGATTTAAGTCAGGAGCAGTTAGTTTGTGGACATTATTTTAACATTTGTTTTTGGTGGTAAAATTGATAAATTTCTCCTGAAAATTAAAGAATTCCACAGAAAACGAAAAGCAGGAAAAGAAAGGTTTTCGGTTGGATTTACATGTATACTACTTGAGCAATATAGGACGGTTGCTGTTATTTTGAACGTCTTTAGAAACCATTTACCTGTACACTTTTTGATATCAGTCCATATCTGTTTATTTGGAATCAAAGGTAAAATTTAATAGTAAGTAAAATTTTATTGTTCTCACTTCTCGATGCGGTAAATCTGATTAAATTATCAATATAAATGGTAAACCCTAAATTTTCAATAAATTACTAGACATTTCTTAAATTTCTAATTTACTTTTGATTTTAATTTCAATTTTTATTTAATTTTGTCATGTTTTAATTTTGGTTAAATTTGTCAATGAATAATTCAGGAAGAAAGACAGGGGGAGAGAACTAATTCTCTAGTACAGTAGATTTAACTACTGTACTAATTTATGTCACTGTGTAGGTTTTTTGACTATGTAGCACATTAGGTTCATTATTCATTGTCTGGTGACCTTGCTCTGTGTCCATGATTATAACCTATCATTGGTAATGATTTGCTCAATAATTATGCACACAATGACAGAGTCACCAAACCATGAAGCTTGGGCTTGGGGTGTACCAAGTGATTTGGTAGCAGCAAAAACCCTTTGTTCGAGGTGTGAGGCATATACTAACAACGGTTTAAATATTGATTGGAATTGATTGAAACAAACGATGCAGATATTCTAGATAGAAATCTTCGTTCCCATAACCACCACTGAGATACACCGTCCCAAAAATGAAGAAAAAAATATATACATAGTGATGTGTTATGTTGGACCTCTACACAGTGTTCAAACATTCTTAAATTAACTTTTATTTAAAAGTTCTTTGTCTTGATGAGGACCAATCGACATGAAAATCAGAAATAGGATCGATGAAGGGATTCTTGAGCCCCACAAACGGAATCAGATTTACTGACTATATCAGCTTCATCAATTCACGAAACGGATCAACGCCATTTACGGTCACACCCTTTAATCTTTGTATTGTTTCTTCAGAAATATTGAAAGATGAGCTTCTTAAGTTGTATGTCAACAAAAACTGTCCCATTGGGACCGGCGGAAGACGAAATCCTACACGAGAACTGTGTCGCCTCATTTAACTGTCGCTTTTCTCGGGAGAATGGTCGACCATGGGTTTGTGACGTAACATTTCTACCTCAAGGTTGCATTGCTGTCCTAGATAAATGGAACAACAAACTAAAAATTCTGGACAAGAAATTTTCATGTAAAACATCGTTTTCTTTAGAAGACATGGAGGCTCTCTCTTATGTATCCAATGATGTCATCGCTATCATGATGTCAAACAAAATTCTGTTCTACTCAATTAAGGACAAAATATCAGATGTGACCGTTAAAGAAACAACATTCGGAGGAAAGGGTTTAGCTTTAACTTGCAAAGACGACTATTTAGTTCTTCTGTACGAAAACCGGGAGGTGTATAGCAGCATATACGTCAAATTCATGACGTTTTCAAATGGCGGATTGATATGTCACATTACCGTAGAAATTGACATGAAGGTAGATCTATCAAATTACATTGCTATTAGTGATAAAATGAAACGGATTTTTCTAGGTAACCTTAAAAAGAAGTCTATCATGTGCTTCTCAACCTCCGGCGTTTTACTCTGGGAAACCAAGGTTTCATCATGGCCGCGAGGAATGGTATTTGTGGACAACAAAATTCTAGTCGCAACGTTTTTCGACCATAAGATCCACTGTTTAAGTATTAAAGGAGAGTATATGGGCGTATTGTTTGATGCTTCATGTGGAATAAGATATCCGTTAGCATTGTGCTTTCATAAACCAACTCAACATTTACTCGTGCAATGTGACCATTTCGGAGATTTCAAGGTTTTTAAGATTTCTTCGTTGGAAAGTTTAATAAAAGTAGAAAATTAAAAAAAATATGTTTTCTCTGTTTATTGTGTGATTGTGTGCAAGTTTTCCCTAGTAATAGAAGATACGGGGTATAGAGTTTTTGCGCAGTCCGTCCGTCTGTCTGCATGCTTGTCCGCAAAACTTCAACCTTGCCCATAACTTTAGAGTGGGTGGGTCGGGTTTGGCTTTCATAATTCATAGGTATACTCGTGACAAGACCTTTCTTCGGGTAGCACCAAATTTGACTTCTTGTCTTTTGAATTTGACCCACTTTAACCAGAAACTTCCGAACTTTAACCTTAGCAATAACTTTAAAATAATCGACGCTAGAGCTTTCATACTTCACTTGTATGCACTGTGGCAAGTCCTTTCAATGGGTATAAATATTTTTTTTACCCTGATCATAGAGTTTGATCCACTTTTTAAAATTAACTTCAAGCTTGTCCATATCTCTTGAACAGTTAGTACTAGGACTTTCATATTTCACAGGTGTATTTCTTGCGACAAAACCTTCCTTTAGATGCCAACAATTTTGACCTTGGATATTGACCTGGATATGAGAATTTCAACCCCAATCAGATGCTAGCTGTAAGGTGGTACACTGTTTTACAAACACATCTTGTTCATCATATTTATATAGGGTCTATATGAAAAAAATCAAAATATTTTTTGGAAGAAGTATCAACAATGAGTATAATATTTTGCGTGGTTAAAAGCTACATTATTTATATACTCTTAGTACTATTTTAAGAATTATTTACCAGAACTCTAGCTACAGAATCAGGACCCTTTATTACCAAATCAATACATGTAATAAGAAGGATTTCCGACCATTCATTGACCAATAGCCTTACAGGAAATAGGAGAGTGGGCGAAAGACGGGTGGCGTACCGCTCTAAAGTATACCCCAATTGTTCCCTTTCAGTACAGGTATTGCCAAACAATTTTTAGTTTTTTTGATGCACATCCAAACATCAACAAGTCAGGGTAGCATCAGAGAACAAAGCAGCGAGCAGAAGTCGTGCACATACTTTTATCAGACCTTTTGAAGGTTGGTATTCAAATATGCTTTTATATATGTATTTACAATAAAAAATGAAATCTTGATTATAAATCTTATTGCTTCTCGGAAAAAAAATAGAACGCAGAAGTTTTTTTTTTTCTTTTTGATAGCATTTATTTATAAATAGCCAATACCAGAAATTGAGGAAGGTATAATTGACTCATAAACACAATCTATATATATTTAATCAAATCAGATACATGTACCCTGAATTCATAATTGCCAAAGTTTTGAGGAAATATTTTATCAGAATTTCGACTTGGCCTCGTTTCTTTTACCGCTTGGTAATAAGGGTTTCTGATGACGACTTGTATTGTCAATTTGCCAGTGTGAATCTACAATCCCGTGCAAGAAGATCAACATTAAATGCAGTAACTGCTTTTAAAGCCGACGTTTTATCAACATAAAACTGTCATTGCCTCTTTAATTAACGTTGGGAGAGTTTGTCAAAAGTTCAATAATCTTTTCAATTTGTTCACAAATTCGTGTAAATACGTATTAAATTTTATAGTTCGTAATATGTACACATGACATGAGTTACAATATACTGCAACAAAGCGCTCTAACAATGAGTTCTGATATCATTCGAAGATATCGGTCTTAGCCGGTCCTTCTCAATATAATAAAATGATCATAAATTAATATGTTACGAGTTAAAACCCTGAATCTAATACTTGGATTTAAATTTCACAGGGGACCGATAGGAAAGATTCCAACCCTCTGTGACATTGTTATAGTGGAGATTTTATACACTACCATTGTCTAAAAAGGACCTTGTTTATTGAAACTGTTTACATGAAGGACGTAGATGGGATATTTTTAAAACATTATCTGCATAAAGTATCGGGTATGCAACACGAAAATAGCAATAGACTACAGTGAATTTACAGATATGTGCATTGTAAAATTTTGAGAAATTTCTAAAATTGTTGCCTTTTACTGAGGACCTATCACTGAAGAATGAAAGTAAGTAGTAAATCGTATTTGAAGGTGAAATATTTGTGAATTCTATTCAAAGACTTAATTACCAAGACAAATTGAAAAGTATTACACTGCCTGTAATGTTGGGTATTACATTTAAGAAGTAATTTGTTAAAAATGAACACACCTTTTCCAATCAAAACAGATAATAATTATTTTATGAAGCTAAAAAACCCTAATTTATATTTCCAGAGTGCCCAAAATGTCGAGTGGCATGCATATTTCTAAGAACACAGTGAAAAGGATTAAGCAAGGTGACATCCAGCTTCATTCAACTATCCATAAAATCGACTCTTCTCTTTCCGAAAGTCTCCATCAAATTGAATACAATGTCCGGAAAATAGCACAAGAACAAGGGCAAAAGGATGAATATCAGCCTTACTATCTACGGCGAAGACGCTCCATTGAACAAATCATCGATTCAGAGAAGGCCTTCCCATTTAACAATGAACTGCGCGAAAGAGCAAGTAGTCTCGGAAGCAGGCCTGTGACAACTAGCAAACTGCAAATTCCGAGCAATTCCGCTTCCAAAGAATCGGTATCTTCTGAAGACGGTAATGGGACACGTGACGTCAACAGCCCAAGACGTCGACCCAAAACAAGTGAAAATACAGAAGAAAATCCTGGCAGCAGTTTAAGTCAGTTTTACCGTTTCAGACAGGGAATGAGATCTAGAAGAAATTCATTGCCTATGAGTTTTAGTCTGCAAAACTTGGATGATCTCCGCGCGCGAAGTCAGAGTGAATCAGGTGAGGTCGGAGGACTGAATGTTCGTCTGCATCGCTTGGAACATGAACTCGCGCAGAGAAAACCAAAGAGCAGACGACAGCTCCTCGCCACTAGTATGACGTCAATTGATGAGAAAAAAGAACAAGAAAAATTAGAAATGGAGAGGCGGCAGCAAGAGGCAATGGAATATGTTAATTCTATTGAGAAATGTAACAGTTACTACATCCGAAACAAAAGTAACCCGGCGGAACTAACTGTAGATGAGATCTTTCAGAAATCCTAACATTATGAAGACATTTTTGTTTTTCTTTCACAATAACAATTTTGTTTACCTTTTATGTGAATTGTAGCTCAACTGGAAGATGGTGAAATGTGCTTATTGCAAACATGGATAAAGCTAGTAAGCCAGTACATGGTCAATGGATACTAATTATATTTTCACTAAGACCATGCTGTTCAGGTAAACATGCAATGAATACTGACTGTAACATTTTTTTACCACTGTTTCATGTACTAAATTGAATGAAAACAAGACTGATCTGTAACATAATATATTTTTTTCTAGTTGTAAACATAAACAAGTCACATTTAAATAATAATTTTTGTTAAAAAAAATACACTTCTACAAGCTAACATCACAAATCATCATAAATCACCTGTATTTATTGTCAGTAAATGAGACTTGAGTTGTTGGATGTTTATAAGGCTTAATAACCCGACCAGAAAACCATCCTGTAGCCAACTCTGGAATTCACATCAAATAATTATGAAAACACTGTACAAATAACCACTAACAGTTGTTACCTCCAAAACTGTTCCTCAGAATATATCCAAAATTAATACCACCCTCCGACATCCAAATACATTTATGTGTATATAACTAATTTGTCATTTTATATGATGAAAAATATATTAGATGAAAAAAGAACTAAAATATGGTACATCCTTCATGTCAGAACCCCCTACAAGTGATATCAGCCTTTGTGTATGATGACAATCCTGGAACACCAGGCCTGCTGGAATGTCATGGTTACCCTATATATAATGATACATGTCTCTGGATTATATTGACTAGGACAGAGAAATACATCCTCTGGGGACAGTGAGGGGTGACTACTATGCGGGGGTTTGTACCATCCCAGGACCCTCCTTGGGTTGGTCCGACTGCAACTGTCGTCCGAGGTACTCCCTGAAAACAGGAGGATTATCTGATGTAGGGATTTAGAAAAATCAAAATTTATGCAAATTATAATCCATACAAAGTGAGAAGATTTATGCTTTTCTGAAATCCAGTGGCAGTTGTAAGAATTATATTTGTTTGCTTTTAATGTACCCAAAATTGTCTTTAAAGAAAGACATCTTACCAATTATGGACCATCAACTTTTGAACAGCAATGAGGGCTTCAAATCTGACATTAGGATCTTCATGTGAAAGATATTGCATCACTAATTGTTTACCACCCAACTGTTCTATCACACTATAAAACAAGAACGAATTGTTAAAATCATGACTGGAATAATTAAAATGTTTACAAATGATTTTAAATAAAACCTGAAACATTTTTCTGAATATGTTAAATAAGGATTCTGGCATTATCACAGCAAATTTGACTCATATTATGGAACTTTAACAGTACTTGTATCTTACAAATGAAAATCTTAAGCTTATTACTTGCTTTTTTTCTCAAAATTAGAAAAGAGATCATTACTTCCTCTATATCCTACTAACACTTTCCCCCAGGATAATGTGTGACATATTCTCCTATATCCTCTTTACAATTTTCTCCTGAGATAATATCTGATATACTGTAGAGGGGATTAATTTCATGGGTTGTAATTTTCATGTTTTTCTCTCATCTGACACGATAGCAATTCTTGAATTCGCAGAAATTGTATATAATAAAAGTTACCTCCCTTGTCTATATCCGTTTAATCCATACAACATTAATCAGCGTTATGTCTTTATATCATGAACAACAGGGTAGGTTATTATAAAACTAATAGATTTTAAAAAATAATTGACAATTAATTAAAACAAGCGCAGTTATCAAAAGTCCTTGACTATCAACGTCAAATGACTTTCCTATATGCTATTACAATGAGTGCATGTGCACCCCAAGATCTTCAATACAACACGGCGAAAAACCACTAGATCGTAATAAATGTGTTAATCAACTCAATGTAGGTTGACCTTCCACATCTTTGGTAAGATCAATAGTTATTTGAATGATTTTTTAAACCAATGTCATTAAAAACTAATATGAGGTAAAAAATACATGTGGTATCATTAGTAGGGCTGGGCAATAATATCGATATTTCAATATATTGCAATACTATGGCAAAAAATATCGTATCGCAATACGATTTTGTAATATCGATACAGTACAGGCCACGAGTTTTCCGCAACGCTCGGTGGACAAAACACCGTGTGAAACGCTCTGTGTTACACCGTGTACACGGTGTAGCACGGTGTGTGTGGATTTGAAATATACAGGTTGCCGCACCGTGTCTAGAAAAAGCTCAGCTAGTGTCCTCCGTGTCGCACCGTGTCCAGTAAATTTCGTTCCGTTGCATGTCCAGAAAATTCCCCTCCAAGCTGCACCGTGTAAATAGTAAATACAGACAAAATCGTTTGTTTCTGATAAAAATTTGATAATAGATTTTGATGACAATTTATAACTTGGGTTTATGTATGTATAATAATCGTTTTTATTCTACCAGATATTGGACTTCGAATGGCACGCATGATATTGAGATTAGATATCGGTAAAAAAAAAAGGAATGATTTTCATTTGAATTAACTGTGTGTCTAGAAATTCATTTTAGTAAAATTATTCATCCACGTTACAAAATCAAAATTATGAATTTTATTTTAAATGAATAATTTAATCTCATGTGTTCATGTAACAAAGGAAGGCGAAATGGCGTCGAGCTGCATTCGTGTCACATACACTGTATAGTACAGTATAAAATTAAATCAGAGCTGTATTTATGTTCATGGTTTTAACATGTACAGTACTAGTGTACAATCCAAGCATTATTATGTATATTCCTTATTAAAATACATTTGTTTTGTTCATCTTGAATTATTCTGAATGTGGATGCGAAAATCGTCAGCAGAAACACGAAAATAATGCAATAATTTCAAAACGTATTTCTCGTAACCGCAAACATTATTTTCATAGAGTAGTATTCACTACGTTGTGTTTTTAAAATCCTTTCAGTGTAAGTAGTTATTTCAGTAAAAGTGTATAAAGAGCAACACCAGAGAGAGAGAGAGAGAGAGAGAGAGAGAGAGAGAGAGAGAGAGAGAGAGAGAGAGAGAAACTCATACAACCCCCTTTTAACATAGTCTGTAATTTTTTTTTAATTCTTCGTTTTATTTAAGTTAAGGAGGTCACAATTAAACATTCTATAATTCTATTTAATTGCCACAACTTTTGTTCATATTCAACCCATTTAATGCTGTTAATTCGTTCTCTGTGTATGCTGTACGCACAAAATTCTCGTGCATCACCTGCCAATCAAAATACCATGACGCTAGGTGACCTTGAAAGTCTGTTTACGCGGAAAGAATTTCTCTTGTGATTTGAAACAATCTTATGGTCAGTTCCGAGTTCACACCTGTTCAAAAAATATATTGGGTCTCTGCCGGTGGGCCAGGGGCGCCGTATGTTTATCACACCTTTCAAATTCTTTAGCTCTGACCACAGCAAGTGTATAACATGTAACACACTCAACTGATATCATGCGAAATTCACCTTCCAGGTTTCACTACAACAACAATTATAAACTTACAATTATTTGTTAATTTATTTATCCTTTTTCAGACACAAATAAGAGTGTATCCCGTAGATTAAGATTAAAAAAAAACCTAACATAAATTTGCAGACTTCTGATAAAGTTTTAACCATCTGATTCGTATCGCTTTCTAGAAGGGGGGGGGGGGTAAAAATCGCTAAATATCTAAAGTATGTTTTCTCAAACCGCTTTTTCTTCTTTTCACACGATATATTTGAGAATGAAGTAATATTCGTACTGAAGTTAGCACATTTCATTTGCCAAAAATTCGGCTGTAATTTTTGTATTCAGCGTGTTTACTAAGTTTATTACTATTTAATTAATGAAATTATTCAGATTATCATCTCTGCCTGTTCAGTAGATTTTCGAGTTTACCGCATTTAATATTTATCTCCATATTTTACATATTTACAGATTTTTAGCGTTAGTCTTACTGCAATAATCGTTATCTGAACCTGTCCAATGATTCGCCGAGTATCGGAATTAATGTGTGAGTCTGATACGTATTTTTTTTTAAAAAAAATATTCTAGACACAGTACATATTTTATATACATTTAAATTCTTACAAAATAATTAATTCACTTAGTAGAATCACGCATCTGATATGTAATATGAAGGGAAAAATGATCTTGTATCAACGATTTAATTGAACACAGTTTAAATCAAAATCGAAAGTAGAGACAATTAAGTAATTCATGTATGAAAGTGTGTTTCCTCTTAGTGTAATATAATAATAGTCTATTGAACTTTTTATGACTAATATAATTAGGATTTAACTTGAAACGTGATTGTATTTTTTTTTCTGGACACGAGTACATTGTTATTAAGTTTTAAGGCATCTTATTAGTTTAATTATCTGTATGCGATAAATTACCAATATATGTATTAATTTATGGAAAAAGTACAACAAATATTTCGAAAGAAAGTTGATTTAATTTTATTAAATAAGGGCAATGAGAATGTTTAAATTATTTATCATCAGTACTGTGACACACCGTGTCACACGGTGCACAGAAACGCTGACTTCAAAGACGCCGACAAGGTTCGAGGTCCACGCTAAAGCGTGGACTTGCGGTCCACGGGGCCCCGTGTTTTTTGCGGAAAACTCGTGGCCTGTACTGTATATTGGCAATAAGCTTAGATTAAGGAATTTTGTCATTAAATATAAAAATGGACTTATGAAAGTTTGTTATTTAGCCAAATTGTAAGTCAGAACTTCTTTTATGGGAACATTTCAGAGCATAACTTAAATGAAATCAACAAGATTTTTTTCCGTGCTGGTTACTTATCATGGTTACGTACATTTCGCATGTAAATTAAAGTAAATTTAGTAATAAAATGCCATTTTTATTACATTGAAAATATTGCAATACATATCGCAATACAGTTAGAAATATCGCAATATATCGCAATACGAAATCTCAGGCCAATACCCAGCCCTAATCATTAGTTACACACGGGTAATCAAAACCAATGGCTCATATGCTTTGATTGATGAAACATGTAGCATTAGCTATTAAAACAGCTGTTTAACAAATACTGGTAATTATCTGCTGATTCCAATTAAAGTAAAGCATGATAATTAAAATAATTGAATGACAAGTACAGTCTATTCTCATATTTCCTAATAAAACATGGAGATTATTGAAAATTTATTCCCTGTTTCTTGATTGATTGTATGTTGTTTTACGTCCCATTTGAGAATTTCTTACTCCTATAGAGACGTCACCATATACTGGTGAAGGGCTTCAAATTTTGAACTTTACTCGGCACTCAGGGCCATTGAGCAGACGCGAGGGATCTTGACCGTGCCAACGCCTACCGCTGACACGGGGCCTTGGTTTTTAAGGTCTCATCCGAAGGACCCGCAACTTTCACTTCAAAGTGCCGAGCGCATGGCAAAAGGAATATTTGCTACCCATTTTTCATCGACTTAGGTCAGTCACAGCTGTGATTCAAACTTACGACCTCCTGATCATGGATGGAGCGCTCTACCGACTGAGCTACAGTGAACAGTCACTGTTTATTGAATTCATGGATTTATTAACACCGTGAATATAGCGAATATTAACAACGAAAGTTATTTTCCCCCTATACAGTATTCTTCTAGATCCTCCTTACACCTTACTCCTGGTATAACGGCTGACATATTATCTTAGAAACTACTTACACTTTTCCCCTAGGATAATGTCTGACATATTCTCCTAAGTCATGAGCTGCCACAGAAAGGATTAATGGATCCTTACTACTTTCTAAAAGTCGAACTAACATCCTTAAAAGTGAAATGAAATAAATAAATATTAGGTGTAAACATAAAATCTGCTTAATCATGCACAACATTCATGCAAATAAAAATCGTAATCTATTTCGCTTATAACAAAGAATGAGAAAAGAAGCCATTGCCATCAGACCAAAACTATAGAAGGAGTAGCGTTTTAAAGGAATTTCACAAAAATTTATATTTTTAGTAATCATGGCAACACCGTTCATCGTAATAAAAAACCGATGCACTATTTTATGTATCTTAGTGTATTCTACTTGTGTGCCAAGTTATACTGAAATCAGATCAAAACTGTAGGAGGAGTAGCGTTTTAAAGGAATTTCACAGAAAATTCTATTTTTAGTAACCATGGCAACACCGTTCATCGAAATCAAAAACCGATGCACTATTTTATGTATCTTAGTGTAGTCTACTTGTGTGCAAAGTTATATAAAAATCAGAGCAAAACTGTAGGAGGAGTGGTGTTTTGAAAAATTGTTTACAGACAGACGGACAGCTAGACAGACAGCTAGACAGACAGACGGACGGACGACGGACACCTTACTATCGCATAAGCTCTTCTGGTCTCTGACCAGTAGAGCTAAAAATGGTAATCTATTTTGCTTTTGGCATTTCAAAACTTTTTTATGCATAAAAAATGGTTCTAGTCTCTTTATGTTAATAGCTACAATGGCATGTATATCTATAAAATTCTAATTAAGTTCATACTTAAGAAGAGAGTAGTTATTCTCATTAAGCCTGATTGCATTCTCCCTCCAGAATTTCTCATTCTTATGAACCGGGCTCCATTCCAATCTCCCTGATTTCACCTCAGATGTGTACTCATCAAATGAACTGCAAGTTAATACAGGTAAATCAGAAAAAGCAAACAAGAGTGTCCTCAATTCAAGAATATACAACCTTTATATAAAGAGAAAATCTTTATGCCATTATTAGATGCATCTTTTAAATTTTTTCGTGTTTAATATTATAAGTGTAAGTTTTTACTGAGTACCCATACACCTTGTTACCTAAGATCTTGGACAGACTCCTGCAGTTTCTCATTAAGGAATTCAAGGTCGTCCACAATGTCAGGGTCATCAAATTTCCTGGCCTCCAGCAGTTCTAGCTGTTTTAGGACTTTACACTGAACCATGGCCACAGCGTGTTCATGGACCAAATCCTTTTCTTCTGGCTTCTCTAGCAAGTTCTGCAAATCAAAGTTGGGTATTTACATAAATACAAATACATGTCTTTAGAATTGTTATCATCCATAATAACATTTAATGCATTGAACATTTGACAGGTACATGTAAATCTGTGGATCTGTTTTTCATGTTTCTTTGTTAGGTTTTCCTTGAACAAGGCTTTCGAAATTTCGACCCCAGTTTAATTATAAACTGTAATTATTATATGTACTTGTATTTATCTGAATTAGTCAACATACTCTGAATGTGGCAAGTATAATTCTTGAAACTTTCTCCTTCACAGATTCGCTGAGAATGTCTGATAGTACTGGGATGATTTTATCTCTAAAAACAATGGAAATTTATCATATTTTATGCATGAATCACATAATCTAATTAACCTTGTTTCTCAATAAAGTCAGACTGTAATAATTTGATTCTGATTCAGAATACTAACTTGCTCATTCTCTCTGCTATGTGAGGACTGAAGCTGAGACACCACAAACAAAATATCAGCTGATACTGGATCTGGAAGCCGACCTTGCTCCCTAGCAACACAGACACAATCCTACAAGTACAAATAGGTTAAAAATAACCTTACAAGTACTAAAAGGTCATCACAAAATCTAATAAAATAATTTCATATGATCTGACTTCTAGGTACAATAACTCAGGTAAAATTGACTTGTGACTTACGTAGCTATTCCGTCTACGTCTACAAACACTTGTCTGTATTTCTCTATTCTGAGCATCATTTGTAGGCACCGTGCTGCAGTCTGTATGTACTCATTACCCTGAGGTGAAACAAGTTTTTAACTTAAATGTCTTTCAAGAATATCTATAATATGTTTTCTAAGATTCAGACTGTGCTCTATTCAGTATCAAAAACCTTAATTCAATGGTTCTTCCTGTTGTTGTTTTATTCATTACAAAAATATATTAGCATCTATTTATTTTTCTAATAACTTTGGTAAGGATTATTAGCATAAAGAAAAAAAAAAATTAACTGCCTTTGCCATTAATTTAATTTAAAACTTCTAATCTAAAAATAATTTCCTTTGTAATATGTTTTCTAAGATTCAGACTGTACTTGTACGTCTAACTTACAGGAAGACGGAGCTGGTTTTTAAGCCAATCCATGTAGAATCTTAAGTCATCCAGACCCATCAACTCCTTACTCCAGCATGCCATCTTAGCAATGATTCTACTTGTCTGTAAAACACAATTACAGTGAAACCTGTCTAATCCGACATGCACTGGGAGACAAATTTTGTGTCGGATTAGAAAGGATGTCGGATTACACAGTGTTAACCAGAAGTCTCTGTTGAGACTGTAGCTCTACTGGATTGTACTTATCAAACCATTGCACTATTTTATGTATCTTTGTGTAGTCTACTTGTGTGCCAACTTATTTTGAAACAAACTAAAACTGTAGAAGGAGTAGCGTTTAAAAGGAATTTCAAAAAAATTCTATTTTTAGTAACCATGGTAATACCGTTCACCGAAATCAAAAACCAATGCACTATTCTATGTATCTTAGTGTAGTCTACTTGTGTGCCAAGTTATATTGAAATCAGACCAAAACTGTAGAAGAAGTAGTGTTTTAAAGGAATTTCACAGAAAATTCTATTTTTAGTAACCATGGCAACACCGTTCATCGAAATCAAAAACTGATATTCTATTCTATGTATCTTAGTGTAGTCTACTTCTGTTCCAAGTTATATTGAAATCAGACCAAAACTGTAGAAGGAGTAGTGTTTTAAAGGAATTTCACAGAAAATTCTATTTTTAGTAACCATGGCAACACTGTTCACTGAAATCAAAAACTGAGGCACTATTCTATGTATCTTAGTGTAGTCTACTTGTGTGCCAAGTTATACTGAAATCAGACCAAAACTGTAGAAGGGGTAGCGTTTTAAAGAATTTCACAGAAATTCTATTTTTAGTAACCATGGAAACACCGATCATCGAAATCAAAAACCGATGCACTATTTTTAGTAGTCACAAGTTATATTGAAATCAGACCAAAACTGAATTTCACAGAAATTCTATTTTTAGTAACCATACCGTTCATCAAATATATGTATCTTAGTGTAGTCTACTTGTGTGCCAAGTTATATTGAAATACTGTATTAAGGAATTTCACAGAAAATTCTATTTTTAGTAACCATGGCAACACCGTTCATCAAAATTAAAAACCATGCACTATTCTATTATCTTAGTGTAGTCTACTTGTGTGCCAAGTAATATTGAAATCAGACTAAAATTGTAGGAGGAGTAGCGTTTTGAAAAATTGTTTACAGACAGACGGACAGACAGACAGACAATAAATTACTATCGCATAAGCTCTTCTGGTCTCTGACCAGTAGAGCTAAAAACAAGGAGAATACTAAAATGGGAAAGAAATTTAACGTCGGAATTCACAGTGTGTCGGATTATTCAGGTGTCGGATTAGACAGTTTTCACTGTACTTCCATGAAATGTGCTGCATATGTCATAACTTTTGTTAACAAAAATTAATTTTGCATACTTTTTCTTTACTGGTACATTATGCAATTTTCCTTCTAGTTTTTAGCACAGTTCTGTGTACACAAATATATTATTTATTCAGTTAAATACATGTATATTATTCACACAAAACTTTATAATACCCATATCAGTTTATTATAGCTGTGTTTACCTGATTGACAATAAATCTGTCATTCCTGTTCAGTAGATGCATGAAGGGAGTCCAGACTGACTCCTTCATCTGTTTGGCATAATCCTTTAAGATTTCTACTCGGGATTTATCCTCCTACAAATAAAGTCTAATATAACATTTTCCTCTTGTCAAATACTAGCCATCCAAAACACAACGTATTCATTAACAAGCTTCATCTTGAAATAAAGCTGCTGTTCAATTTCTTGATAAATTTTACAGAAAAAGTCTACAGTTTTCTACTGTTCTATGAAAACTTGAAAGTAATCCAAAAGCCTCAATTTGCATTAACCCAGGACTACACTTTACCTGTAAAACATCATCCAACATAGTCAATATGTACTGTAAGGTTTGGTCTTTAGCTATCTGGCTCATCAAATTGAAGAAAGTTCTTGCAAACTACAATGAAAAAAAAACATACCAATGTATATACTGTTGATCACTTAATTTTCGCGAGAAAGGCATTGACTCTTTAAAAGCAAGACATAATTTTCACGAATTGTTAAAATTTCTCTATATAATCTTAAGGAATACTATTATACACGAGAACTTTATTTTTGCGTGCTAACTGTCTCGCGTAATTACGCGAAAATAATGTTCTCGCAAATAAAAAGTGATTTACAGTATCATTCTGTAAATAAAGTCAATGTATGGTTTGTCAGTTAAACTCATGTTATTACTGAATTTCTTTAAAGTAAATAAGCAGCCAAGGGAGACAACTCCAACCAATACTACTTTTGAGATACATATTTTGGTCATATTAAAAAAAATTATATTATGCAAATTTCTGAATTTGATTGAAATAATGAATTAAATTAAACAAAGTGAAAGAATATAAGTCTTGTAACCTGTAGTCCATTCTCCCTCAGCATGGCTGCCTTAGTTTCTGTGTTAGCATTATCAAACTGGTAGATAAAGTTATAATCCTCCTGAGAAATCATCTGTCCCCTGTAAACAAAGAATTCAATTGTCCACCATTTATACATATAAATCAATTGCCCCAGCATAAATTCAGAATTAACAAAGTTCCTGATATATGTATGGCTGAGACAAAATTTGCATCTGTGACAGCTTGCATACAACATAATTATGAAACATCTTTAAATGACATTTAATTTGGGAAATTTACGTCCATCTCCCTAATTCTGCTTCAGTTGATAAAAGGTTTGTAAGCATGGTAATGCCACACTCGATATAAACTTGTCAGAGAAAGCGCAGTTTAAGCAAACAACAATAGTAAAAAAAGCACCTGACAGTGTGCAATCTGTTTCACTGTGAATTCTAATTTTAATTTTTATTACCATTTTAAAGATTGTTCATTTTCTTGTCACTGTGCCACATGCATGTACGTTATTTCCAGGAAAAATTTCCCCGCCTTTACATATCAGTTTAACTAGAAAGATTTCACTTTACCATTACTGACAATATACCAATTAAGTTATCAATTATACCAATATGTACATGAATGATACTGATGACATATCCTAAATATGATTCTGAATTCCTTTTTTTTAAGATTTATGACAAATGAACACACAAGACACAGTATCCAATCACTTACTGTACATAGCTCTGCCAGTTGACTCTGTTTGCTCTGACATCATTGGCTCTCTGCTGTAGTAAACTGGTGGCCACCTGGGCACCTTCAAATAAACCAGACAAATCCTTTAAACTTCAAACATTTGATAAATATTCATGTCAATCAACATGCAACAATCACTCTTAAAATATTCTCCCAAAGTGATTTTTGAGGTACCTTTAGTTTCTGCTGAAGAACTGTACATCCCAAAATTTGTATATTAAAGTAAAACCTTTTGTTTTACCTCCCAATACACAGTGTATCTACCTGATGACATAGAATGTCACAGAAGCCTTAGTTAGCATTGTATGTCAGGGACCTGTTACTTGTCTAGCACTGTTATGTTGGCTGATCAAACAGGATGGTGAGCTAAAGCATGTGTTTAAGGATCAATAATTGAATGTCTGCATACTTCAATCTGTTACTGTTGTCCTACAAGTGCACAGCTAGTGTATCACTCATGGAATTCATTAGATATATGGTCTATTGTATTTCTTTATGCTTGTACGATTACACCAGGGACATTGATTCAATAGAAAAATCTGACTAAACATCCTAACTGTAAGATCAGCTTTTGTTTTACAGCAAACCTATTTATTCAATTTCATTTATAGATTGGTGCATTATGCACTGGGCTCTTTTTAAACATAAAATAAAATAGTACTTTATATCTTACAAATTATATTCCTCGTAAATTCTAGAATTAAATGTTTAAAAATTTCTAGAATGTAAATAATTTTAAATGGAAACGGGATAAACTAAAATAAATTATTCCTTTAAAAAAAAGTGTTGCTAAGTACATGTACAAATCTAATTGTAATTTCTAATTACTTGTCTTTTATATTACAACAACATGTATATATACAGTAGCAAACAATATCTTTCTTAAGAGAAATATCAAGAAAGCCTATCATGTTTTACATGTACATCCACTTTTTTCTTTTTAATTAGATCCCTTTCAAAGCAGTAGTAACTACCAAACCCTGAGTGTAATTAACAACCTCGTTCCTGTAACATCTGCTTATTTAGCATTTTCTGGTCCACCTGGCTCTGACTGCGATGGAATCGCTGACCGGTTGACATGATGACCTTGCCGGGCTCTGAGAAGCGCCGAGAGAACAAGGGCTTTTTCTGCATATTTCCTTTCTCCTGTCGTGTGCTCTTTCTTACTGAGAGATCTGTCACCAGCTCTGCTGGTATGTCTTTATGTTCGTGTTCATCTACCTCATCCTCAGAGTGATCTCCCCTTTGATCACAGTGCTCTCCCCTTTGAACACAGTGATCTGCCCTTTGCTTTCCAGAGAATCGCAACTGTCTAAATCTTTTCAAAGTTGCATCAGAAGATACATCACTTCCATTTTCATCCTTTTTGTCAGCAACAGAATAAGAACTTGTTCTCCTCATCCTCAATTAATACCGAACTTCCTTTCTCAATATCTACTTTCAGTGAATAATTACATAAAACAATGATCACATTTAACTAAAATCCATCAGAGATGCCCAGAAGCAAAGGGTTTTATTTGCACAGCAGTAACTTTGAATCTTAATTAACTCTTCCAGCTTACAAATATTCCATTATATTCCAGATTAAAATGAAATGACAGGCTCCAATATTGTCTCTGATAAAAGATATCAATGCCACAGAAGATATCCAGCTTTTACTTGATGATAAAGTTAGCAGGTTCAACAATTGGCATTAAATATTGATCTTATTAACCTCTTCCACCTGCTGCTGACTGTATACAACTGTTTTGGCCACAGGTTTTTTATGTCACATAACCTCTATAATCCAGAAGTTTGACCTTATAATCAGGTTTGCACAGATGTTGGTCAAAAATAATTTCTTCCTTGTAACTGCATGTGACCAGAATACCATCAACTTATCATGCAGTATGTCCAGTAACTTGACATTATCCAACAAACTTCATCTACCTGTGTGTCTATCAAAATCTAACACCTCTGTGATCTAACTATGTACTATTTTCTGAGCTGCAAAGCCTGAAGGAAAATGATATTCATACAACATTGTGTAATTTATGTTGCTATAGGATATGATATGGGAATAATTCATTTACAGGTAAGTAGACTCTTCATCCAAAAAAAAAAAAATAATAATAATACTTATAAGTCAATATTCATACAACAGAAATCATTTCTGTAAAATGATAAATGTTATAGTTAGTTGTAGATTTACAGTAAACATGCACTCATGCATAGTCCCAAGAAATTATTTAGTAAAAAAAAAAAATGGATAATTTTAAAATATTTTCCCTGCACTGTCAGTTTGTACATGTATTAATAAAGGTTGAAAAAGCCCATTTGTTTGAAAATAAATACTACTTTATTAATAATGCTAAGCTACCACATAATAAGGATAGTTTATTTTTGTTATTGTCTTATGCATTATCTAGTATTTTCTCAAAAATCCTTAAAGAACAGAATACATGTAATAAATATTAAAATCCTTTCAGCATGTTCAGCAAAGAACAAATTTTTAAATAATGAAAATGCAGAAATTAGAATGCTACATTTGAAAGATCAACTTCCAATGAAAGAAAGCCAGGGCACCTTTATAGTACAATGTATTCCAAAACAAACTTTCAATTAATTAAGAGCAGATAAATGTATTTTAATATCATGCTGATTCCATAATATTAGCAGATTTTCCCACTGGCAAACTTTCTTCATCAAATCTTTTAATGCATAAATGCCTCTTTCAGATTCAGTGTGCATAAAACAGCACCATTGCTAAATCAGAGAACATATTTTAAAAATTTTCCAAAAAATATTTCTTTTTGCCAATGGAGACCTGTATCCTTCTTATTAAAAACATCATTGCCTACTATGGAATCATTGGATTTCGTGATGGCTAAGTTTTGATTTCATAGAATTCATAGTTACATCTCATTCATGCACAAGTTAAAATCCTTCACAAACGAATACCAGGTAATTTATGGTTACAAAGTTACATTTCCTTCTGTATAGGTATATGAAATTATGTCCTAACAAACCTGCAAAAGTTAGGAAACTAGAAAACTATCCCCAGCAATTGTAATGATTGCACATTATATGTAATCATGCAAACTTTCAATGATAAAAAAAATCCATCTTTTTTTTTTTAATTTCTTGAATTTCTTCCTAGCTTATGCAATTATAGCAATAACATTAACTGGAACAAGAATGTCTGACTCAATACATGTATTTATTAAATTCCAGCTCTTTGAGTTATAGACAGGGAACATTAAATTAATGTTACTTATACTAGTACATGTACATGTACTTTAATAGTGCACCCTGTAGAGTCTTATGCAAACTTTTCTAGCCATGGTGAAAGACTTTTGCCATGATTTTATCAAATATTAAATGATTTAGTGAAAGCATGCAGTTTCATTTTTTTAAAAGTAATAAGAAAGTACCAGAACGACATGCTTCAACAATCAAGAGTGCATACTCAAAATGCTCTTCTTATTTGAAAGAAAATTAGCAACAGAATTTAATATTTCCTTTAGCATTGCCAACAATACAAGAGAAGAACTGAACTTAAACATTTTGTCTTCACATACCAATTGGCAAACTCATGTCTGCAATACAACATAAAGTTTGTAAATTAAATTTGATTCATTCATAATGTGATCTCTGCTTTAGATACGAGCAGTCCAGAAAACAATTTCTGAAAACAAAATAAATGAATTAAATTAATGCATGAAAACAAAAAGTAAATATACTTATAAGTAAAATTAGATAAGCTATTATCCTTGTAAATGTTCATATTTGTATTTTGTACCAGGTAGGTATTGTTCAGTATCGGGTTCGTTCGCCCAATCTACCTGTTCGCAAGAGTCCATTCGTGCAGAGTCCGTTCACCCGAAATATTGTTCGCCCAATATCTTGTTCTCCATATATGTAATTATATGAATTAAATATTAGTATATATTATTTATTCTATTTAATTTCTTTACAAACTTGGATGTTGTTTCTCAAATTTCGATACAAGGAATAATGTTTATAATTTAGTCTAATTTTTAAATTTGATTCTAATGATTTTTGAAGGCCTTAGTGTTAGCATTTTAGTTAATTATAGTTAATTAGATGATTAATATGATTAATATAATCATATATATGATAATTAGGGGATACATCCGTGTTATTTGTACAAATTGCACTATCTTTTGAAAACAAATAAAGGACTGAGACGTTAATTAATAGGTCCATTTTAGAATGTACTGAACAGCAGATGACGATCGAAGGTTTTACCTTTGAAGAATCTCTCCCTTTGATCTTTTAGTAAAAAAAGTTAAGGAAAGAAATTCATTAAATCCTTATTCTGTATTAACTGGGTGAATGGACCCTGTGATGAACAGGTTTTAGGGTGAGGGCGAACGGCTTCATGGGTGAGCAATTTTTAGGGCAAACTAACATACAACCCTATTGTTCATCTCTAAATCTATGGGCAATGGTTTGTATAACTTGAAAATCCTACACACATACTAGTAGCTAAAATTAATGGCAAAAGAATGTATGTTCCTTTTAATAGACTTCAGTCTAAACGTTAATGAAGTAAAATCTAATCTAAAAGTTTTAACTGTCTGCCGAGTAAGTTCGGATTCTTTTCAAAGTGGGGATAGATATTGCCACATATCTTAAGCCTTCGCTTTTTCTTGGCATTGGGGAGTACGAAAAAAAAAATGAAGAAGGAAAAAGGTATTACAAAGAAAAAAAAAATCATGTTTGGTGTATACCGTTACTTGTAGGACAAGACAAAGGTAAAAGAAAAAGAGGTTGTTGAAATCCCTGCAACATCACCAGTAGTTATAACAGTTGTTATATCGTCCATGTTTGACGAAGTGAGGGTGTGCAAAGCTCTAGACTAAGATTTTGCTTATTTTGGTTTTATTTCGCGTTTGCTGTTAAAAATCCCCGACACTTGTGGTCAACTAGGGCTGGGCAATAATATCGATATTTCAATATATTGCAATACAATGACAAAAAATATCGTATCGCAATACGATTTTGTAATATCGATATATTGGCAATATACATAGATTAAGGAATTTTGTCATTAAATATAAAAATGGACTTATAAAAGTTTGTTATTAAGCCAAACAGTAAGTCAGAAGTTGTTTTGTGGTAAAATTTCAGAGCATAACTTAAATGAAATCAACAAGATTTTTTTCTGTGTTGGTTACTTATCATAGTTGTATACATTCTGCATGTAAATTAAAGTAAATATAGTAAGAAAATGCCATTTTTATTACATTGAAAATATTGCAATACATGTCGCAATACATTTAAAAATATCGCAATATATCGCAATACGAAATCTCAGGCCAATACCCAGCCCTATGGTCAACTGGTCAAAGTAAATTTAGTAATGTCAGATTATCTGTCAGAACAATACCTGCGAAGCAGACACTTCGCAATCAGAATGCGCACTTTTACCTTTTTCAATGTCATCAATATTGCTAATGACACTTCCTAAGTTTGAGATGTTAGCCATTTTTGCTCGGTCTTTCTAAATTTTGTCTTGAAATTCTTCTGTCTCTCAGATAATTTATCATATGACTTGCTTCCTAAATCATTTTGTGTTTGACATATTAATACTACCCTGTAATAAACGTTCTTGTGATTGTGATGGTTGTAAGTATTTCGAGCCCGATTTCATTAAATTTGTAATTTGTTATCACTTACTAAGATTTCTCGAATGTTGTATGAAATTATATATAATCTCGAAAAAGAGGACATTTTCCATTTTAAATGGTTGTCACATATCAATATACACTGATGAATAATAATTTTGGAAATTATTGGAATGATCAACTCATTCCAAAAAATGTCTGTCTATCTAGAAAGATTAAAGATCAATGTAAATAATTTTTTATATCAAACTGGAAATTAAATATTTTGAATTCTCCTAGATGTATTAATTTTAGGATCTATAAAACAAACTTTGGTCTAGAAAAATATTTTTCTTTGTTACCCTATGTTCTTGTTTTTAGTTTAAGCAAATTCCGATGTGTTAGTCACAAATTACCCATTTAACGTGGAAGGTTTTTAAATATAGATAGAGCAGAGAGATTATCATGCGATCTCTGTTTGTAGTGTGTGAGAAACTGGGGATGGATTTCACTATATTTTTAATTGCAATTTTTTCAATGATGAAAGAAGAAAATATATACATGAAAATGTTTACAAAGTGAAAAATATTAACAGTTTTTTTTCAATTTATTTAAAAGTGATGATATATTTACATTAATTGGCATATCAAAATTTTGTAAAATTTAAATGTCTTTATTTCACTCTTGAATTCCTTCCAGTACTTCAAAACTAACGTTGTTTATATGTTAATCCTTTGTTCACTTGTTACCCTATCATTGTTGATTTATTTCTTGTTTAATTGTACTTTTATGCCTCATGTGAGGCCCTAAAGTGAAATAAAATGTTCAAAATATACAAAAGATTTAATAAATCCTGTTCAAAATTCCTGGATCCGCCACTGAAGTGCTTGTGAAATCATTAAATAACAGATGTAAATCGACTTTCCTTTGTGGGAAGAATCAAACTGATATTAGCATTTAACTAAAATTAAATTATAAATTCAAAATTAACCTCCGAGGTCACGAATGTAACTTGGGCCTCGGGGAAGAGTTGAAATAAATTTATCTGACAAACATATAATTATCATTTACAGAGGCGGTTTGTTCAAATAAGTCAATATATGCAACGTTGCATAAATGCATAGTTGATTCATTATCTAAAATTTCTTAAATAATTGTTACAAAAGTTTGTTTTTATTTTTGATAAAATTGATTTTTGTTTTGTAATTTCTGAATGCTCAATACCAATGATCCACAGATGTAAACCGATTCCCCCGATTTGCAGAATAATTGAATTATACACTGAATTTTGCAATCTAATTAAAATTAGCATGCAGCTAAAATTAAATAGTAAATTCAAAATGAACCTCCTGAAGAATATGTAAATTGGGCATCGGGGATGAAATATTAGAGAGGTTGAAATAATATGAAAAACAATTTAACAAATATGTGCATCAATTTATAGAGACGGTTTGTTCAACTAAGTCAATATATGGAACTTGGCATAAATCATACATGTAGTTGATTCATTGAATTAATATAAAACTAAAACTTCTCAAGTAATTGTTACGAAAGTTTTTTTTAATTGAATTCTTGTAATTTCTGAATACTGTTATTATGAAGGACGATATACTCTTTATCTGGAGCATCAATGCAGTTTTAGAAATGATGCATCATCATCATCATCATCATCATCATCATCATGGTTCTTTTTGGTTTCTGGTGGAACATACATATATGCAGCATAATTATACAGGGCGTTTCAGCAAACTTGTCCCAACTTTGTTGTCTCAAGATAAAGTTAGGCAGTGTTAGAGTAAGAATTTTTTTTTTTTGCAGAAATGAAAACCACATGGCACATAGCCAAACAATTTTATCAATATGAAACTTGAAGTAATGCTGAATTAATCATTTTTAAGACAGTTATTATTAATAGTGATAATAATTCTTTATGAAATAACTTTAAGCCATATGGCTCATCAGTATATGAACAAAAACAAATATACAGAACGAGTGGTGAGAGTGTGCGCGGGGTGGGGGGGGGAGAGAATCAAATTATTCATTATTTCTTAATTCCATTGCATGGAAAAAATAAATTTTCCTAAACAAATTAAAACCCTAACATAGTGAGAACTGAGTAAGCTTGTACATACTATAGCATTTTCAGATCTCAAATAAAATGGTTTGATATATTTTTTTTTCTTAAAGTTTCATAAATAGGACATTTAAGCTGAAATGATATTCATCTTCTATATAGTGATCACTACAAAATTGACATATTCTTTTGCTTCTTTCAATTTTCTGGTATCTTCCTGTTTCTATACTTAAGTTATGGGAAGAAAGCCTAATTCTTGTAATATTTTTCTTTAACCTAGAATAAATAGGTTTTGTCAAATATGCATGAATTTTGGAAAAAAAAATATCACACACAATTAATGTGCTTGTACAAAAAACACTTTAATTTTCAAAAAAAAGCATTACAGTCTTTCCTTGTACAAAGATATAAACTGTGTTGTATTAATAAAATCTTGATTAAACCAAAAATATTCAAGTACCATTCTAAACAATCTTTAACATCCCTTGCCCAATTAATTTTAAAATTTATTTTCTGCATTGTGCAATAGATATTCATGCATAAGGAGATTTCAATATAAAGTTATTTGTATGAAGTAATTTACATCAGTATTTCATAATTCTGATTTTCCTGCATGAATATGATCAATGGTTTCCGACCTTATTCATGATAAACCATGTAACTACATATAGATCTTTTAACTCAGAGCAAGTTTTTACAGAACATAAGATGGATGCGTTCTTTTTTCAGGTAATGTGTGGAAACCCCAAATTTCACAACCATAATTTAAATCACTTATTATGTATGTATCAAACAATTGACAATGTGTTTCTGAATTAAATTCAAACATTTGACTATTTCGATTTAGTCCAAAAAGTGTCTTTCGTCCCTGATCTGCCAGCTTTTTCTATGTAGAAGTAAATTTACCGTTATAAAACAATATAAGGCCTTAATAATTGAAAGAATCGACGCACTCGACCTCACCGGGAGGTCAACATTACGGCTACATTGCCAAAAATTTCAACTCATTACCGCTACATTTTTTCAAATTTTCGACCGATCATTACCGCTACATTTTTCCGGCCAAAAACAACTCATTACCGCTACATATCCTGAACAAAACTGTTCAAATAAATGTCTATATGTAACATAAACAATCTTATTTTCAGGGCTTACCAATAATTTTGCCCAATAGGATATCATTCTTGAATACACTGTTATATACAAAGGGAAGCGACCCGTTTCGCCATAAACCATATAACTAGGAGTACTACTTTTTAGATTAAAAATATATTTCAAAAATTTAAGATGAACGCGTTCAATTATTTCAATGTTCTCAAAACCCCATTACCGCTACATTTTTCCGGCCAAAAACAACTCATTACCGCTACATATTGAATTAGTCCAAAACAACTCATTACCGCTACATATCGCTTTAGCCAGGTATATGGTTCGATATATGAGTTCTAATAAACAGAATTCACTCACTATCTTAATTCTAATCAGAATGAGTATATTAATATGAATAACTCTGCAGTCGAAATTTAATTATTTAGCGTCATCTGAACATTATGGCCACAATTGAGAAGTGTGTTACAAATCATGGGAATGCCGGTGTAAAGACGAATAATGACCCCCATCGAATAATGACCGGGGGTCATTTTTCGACAGCGAAAAATGACCCCCGGTCATTATTCGACGTAGAAAAATGACCCTTTTGCCCGTAGAAAAAGTGTCACTTCACTAAAAATTTGCAGAACCCACGTGAAGAAAAATGACCCCCGTAGAAAAATGACCCCCTGTAGATTAAAGCTAAAATTTTTAGGGGGCAAAAAAAAAAAATTGGATAAAGAAGCATATTGGCCAAAATGCTCACCTGTGCTTATTGGGAATAAACTGATGATATGTTGATCTCATAACATTATACAATTATAGCTATATTTTAAGGTAAATGCAATGATTCAGAATCTAAAGGAGTAAAAGATTTATCAAGCCTTAAGGGTTAGGTAAACATTGTTTTTTGATGGTGGAAATCATCGAACTGACAGAAAAAATCAGCAGTATTATATATTATTATATCCTGCGCTTGAAAAACGGGAGGGTAAATAGTGATCGGGATGTCCGTCCGTCCGTCTGTTACGCTTTGAGGTATCCATCTCTTATCCGCAAATCCTCATATATAAAAAGATGTGTTTGTGAAACAGCTATGCCCCTGTATGGCAACATAGCGAAGATTAAACTTTTCTTAAATGCAATTTAAATATATTGTTACCCAAAGTAGGGTCTTCTCACAAGAAATACAACTGCAAAATAGGAAAGCCCTAGCACCACTTGTTCAAAAGTAATGGCTAAGGATAAGTTTTTGAAAGGTAGATCAAACTCAAAGGTCAAAGTCGATGTTTTCTTAAGAAAATGTTTAATGTAACAAGAATTACATATGTGAAGTATGAATACCCTAGCCCTTACCGTTCAAAAGTTATGGCCAAGGTAAAAAAAATCATAAGTACGGAAAACTCCAAGGTCAAGGTCAAAAGGTCAAGGTTTTTAGTATCCAATGAAAGGTAATGCCAAAAAACTACATATTCGAAGTATGAGAGTACTAGTATGTACCGTTTAAAAATTATGGCCAAAGTAAAAATTTGGCATTTTTGTGTAAAATGGGACGAACTCCAAGGTAAAGGTCAAAAGGTCAAATTTGGTGGTACCCAAAGTAAGGTCTTGTCACAAGGAATATACATATTAGATATGAAAGTCATAGCTCCAATAAATGAAAAGTTATGGTAAAGGTTAAGGTTTTTGCGGACAAACAAACCGCCAGATAGACAGACGGACATACAGACGAACACGATAAAACTATATACCCTCGAATCTTCGTTTACGGGGACATAAAAAGAAATGGTCTTCAATTAACTTTTCATATTAATATACATTATGAAGAAGACGTTACAACGATGAAAATGTTTGTTCTGATTTTCATATTAAATTCTCTGAAAAATATACTCAGAACTGAGTAAAAGGGTGGAGTAAAACAAGAATTAAAGTAGAACCTATGTCGGAAAAGTCTTTGTCACAAGATTTTCAAACTTTTCAAAATGATAAATTAGTACTTGCTTATCAATCAGTTAAGATATCATGATATGTTTCCTTGTTTTTTAATCTAGAACAGGCTGTGAAACTTGGTATGGTATTTACATACTGCGACTTCACATTTTCAAATATTTTTAGGGGTACTTGTCATAAAGGGAATATGAAAAATCACAAAAATACTTCTTCAAACATCGTCGTTTATAAACTTTTTTATGAATAATATTAAACAATATCTTGTCAAGAATAATTTCTTTTTTATTCAATTAACATAAAAGATAAGTCCACCATTAAAAAAAAAATAGTCAAATGAACTCTATTATTTTTAGTCAATTATGCACCCTATATTTGTAAATATTTTTTAGAAGTCTTTGTCACAATGTTTTCAATCTTCAATATGATGAAGAACATAGCCAAATGATTACAAAAAAATGATTAAAATATATACCTTTCCCCTCTAACTAATGAAAGATAGGCTATTTACCGATACTCATATTCTTGACCTTTTTGCACTTACACGGGTTTTAATAATTAAATGACTGTTTGGGGTTACTTTCAGATTAAATATTAATCAGAAATTGTACTTTTACTTTAAAAAGATCATATTTAATAGAAAAATTGTAATCAAACACCAAGGATATGAATAGGTAACAAATAATTGTTAAAGGGAATGCACATCATTTCATTATAGATATCACAAAAATGTACACACGATCAAACGATCAACAACACGTACATCTTTGACTTAGACACGTTTCATCAAGATATTACACTATATAGCTGGCAACTAAAGATAGATTTCTTACGATTTATGCATTCCTTCAAAATGGTTACATACCATTCAAATTATTACGAAAGTTGTATGTGCATTGTAATTTCATTACACTAGATAGTCTTGGGTTTGTCAACTTCAGGTCTAGATCTAGTAAATAAAAGGTACCTACATATTTTCTCTTATTCCAGAAATATATTGCCATCAAGCATTATAAACCAAAAAATATATGAATTGAATTAAGATTATGTTGGTATGATTGAATTCTGTGAATTTCAAAATGCAATATTTTCTACCATTTTTATTGAAGCTGTCAAGTACGGGAAAAAGTGGCATTGAATTAATTATGAATGGGTTAGCACAGGTTTAACACATTTACCAGTTATGATGTCATACGAAAAATGCTCTACGTTAAAAGAAATGTAATAATTACTGTGTGCTAAATCAAAAGTTTATGTCTACATGTATAGTTTTTGCATTAGAATGACTGTGTATTTTACACTAGCCCATAGCTTTACAGAGCATATTTTTAGGTCTTATCCTTACCCCACCCCCTTTCTTATTTAGGAGGAAGTCGATATTGAACAAAAGCAAAAAAAAACCCACCATACCTTTATTTTTCTATAAGAAGGAATTAAAAATAAGCTAAAAATAATCTACTATTCTACTAATTGTTAACTGTTACTTTGCCACAATACTTTCAAGTAAATCTCCACCAACATTTAAAGTATGCTTTAATCATGGCGAAGTAAATTATGATATGATAGTTCTTGAGTGAAGGCTTAACTTCATTTCAATATTTTATCTAGAGCCTCTTTCTGAATTATTGAAAGGTATAGAGTTTTATTTATATTTTTGTTTTTCATTTATTATTATTTTTTTGTTTTGATTTAACGTAATGTTCTTTTTTTTTGGGGGGGGGGGATTTTCTCCTCTTTCATTGTCAAATAGGATTTGCAAAACTTAAACAAACTAAAAGTTGAAATGACGGAAAATTTAATTTTTTCTATTAAAGAGTATTTAAATCTGATTTTTGCATGGTTTGATTTCTAAAAACAAATGGAATATCATTCTTTAAGCAAACACTATAATTAAGGAGGAATATTAAAAAGAAATTTATTAACTTGACAATTAAAGAATCTCTTTTCAAACACAATTTTAGCATTGAAAGACTACGTGAATCTCTTAATTATTTCATACGACTTTTTGTATTTTTCTGGTTACAGAAAATGTAAAAATAAGTTTCGTTGTAAAAAAGATATCAAAGAGTGTATATTTTGTATCACTTTAAAGGGGGTCATTTTTCAATGGGGGTCATTATTTTATAGGACTAACATATAAAATAATGACCCCCTAGGACCCTTTTTCTACAAAAAACGATTTTTTTCTACGGGTGGGGGTCATTTTTTATCGTTGAAAAATGACCCCCCGGTCATTATTCGATGGGGGTCATTATTCGTCTTTACACCGGCTTACTTATCGATGGTTATAAATTTAGAAAACAATATGTCTAGTCAAGCTAATGGCTTTCAAGGCTTTAGCGATAGTGTAAAATCATTTTACAAAGCTTAGAATTTTATCTATGAACAGTGCTTGATTTTAATTTTTTGTGTTTTATGAAATGAAATTGATTTTAATAATGAAAAAAACATCCTGCTCAAAGTCCTACTTTCATCTCCCCGTGGTGAGCAGGGGAAACGGGTCTTATGCATTTGTAGGATGTACTGTTCACGCATATGTGGCTGGCTAACGATAGAGGCGATGTAGCGGTAATGTATACTTTTTTATGTAGCGGCAATGTAACGTTTTTTTGTAGCTGTAATGACTATGTAGCGGTAATGAAAATTCTGAAAATGTAGCGGTAATGATACGCACCCATTTCACCGTTATAAGTTCATGACGAATTTTCAGCATTAGAAATTGGACCCTATTTTGGCCACCCACGGCGCCAAAACACTGCTCTAATGACCTTTGATTTCACTATTTAGGACTCGGATTTTAAATAAAATACTCAAAATATTATCATTAACTTTCAGTCACTAATACAAATTACAGAGAGTTAACGTTATTCAATTGTGTCATTTTGTTCTTAATCTTCAGTGTGACCTTGACCTCATGTACCCTAATCTTAAGCAAAGAAACAATTAAGGTACTCCTTTTTCAGGTTACATAACTTATGAACCCTGGGCAAAGCATCCATCCGTATGTCTGTATATACATGTAATATCTTAATTGACAAAAAATGAACCACCTGGTGTACAATCTGACAAAGTATGGACTCTCCATTGACTAATAAATATGTCTGCTCTGTATCAATTAATAAAGAAGCTTGGATTCGGAAAAATCTCAATCATTACTTTATATCTCAGAGGTTAGAAAATTGTATCATTCAGAGAGTTCAGTGTAATGTCTGATTTTGCGAACCTGAAGAAATAACAATGTGTAAATGAAAAGCACATTTATTCATAAAAATATCAATATAAAATATAAAGGCATATTAAATATAATACTGATTGTGGATTATAGTGAACCCAATCATTACATTAAACAAAATTATGTATACCGGTATATTGCATCATTCTACAATTTTGCATGTTTCATTATTTTTTAATCAAGAAAATAAAACCGTCACAAAACATACAAATAATTTGAATAAATATACAAATGTAATTGGCTATCACAGACTAACTTTTTGAGGTTAATATACATGTACAAGGACAAACATACAAGTCTTAAAATATACTACAACAGTAAACATCTATTTCCTCTGAAAGATCCCTGAATGTATTAAATTACTGCACAATTGCCAGTACTGGTATGGGTTATTTCTCAGATACACTTGCATTGACAAATGTACATGTACAGTACGCTTTTGTATGATCAAACTACTAACATATAAGCAGAAATTTTAACGAGGATTCAATTTTAGCATTTTTAACGATGGTGTTAAAATTGCTAAAATTGAATATTGCTGAAAATTCATTCCTGCGTACATTACTGTATACAAGGATATTTTCGCCCTGTGTTAGTTTTTCCCTTTCACACAATTTAGTACCTTCTTTAAGAAGTGCAAAAAGGGGCGAAAATGAAAAGGAGCGCGAAAAGTTCGCTGTATACAGTATGTCTCTTAAGGCACAAAATCATTAAAATTACTTCTCGCTCAAATAAAATACTATGTTTTAAAGAAGAATCCCTTAATATGAGTTTTGATAAAATTCTACGTACTGTATACAGTACTTCAGATTTTCCTTCTTTCAATCAAAAACTGCAAAAGTTAAAAAAAAAAGTCAAGGCTTCACTTTTTGAAAATGACAGTCAAATTCTGAGACAATGTATTCTGTCACATGTCACTGGTGGACGGATGCATTTGCATCATACAATACATCAAACATAATGATCATTATTATAATGATCAACCAGCAAATTATCTACATACATGTGTTATACAAAAACTTTGCTTAAAGCAAATTACATTACATGCTCACCTAAAGCCACAAGTTCTTTGGAAAATGCATGTATATGTATATGTAATATAAATCAAAGGATATTTGAATAAATTTTAGAGCAATTAAAAAGACATCTCATTATCTATAATCAGGTTGCAGTATAAAACATAGTCTTTATATCCATTCATTTTACAAAATGTTAAAAAACAAAACAAAAAACAAACATTAATTCTCTCTGGTTTGTTTCCAAATAAAGGATGCTAAGCCTCGGACCCAGAGTCTTCCTACAAAGAGAACATTTTCCTTTGTATTTTTGTTGAATACTAAATGACTGTATTAAATAAATTTATAGAATAAGCATGCATTGTAGTAAGATTCAGTGAGAGTGCATCTTATTTCTGTTTACCTGAACATGATCAGGTGCTACGGGTGTCTCGTTATCCGAAGGTTGATCTTTCCGAAACTGTAATGCATAATGAACAATTAATGAATGTAAATTCCAGTTGTTTTTTTAACTAAGTAATAAACTTTAACAAGACAAATTTTCCAGATGCTAAGTATTCTCCACATTGATTAAGGAAGCATGTAACTATTTTCTGGCTAACCTCTTTTTTTGGTTCAAGGACATAATAAAGGGAATCCAAAGAAACATTGGAGGACAGAGGTTGGTCATCTCTCCTTGTATCTTAAAAACAATTTATTACACATTGTGGTATAGTGGGTCAAACTTCCTATCCAAAGTATTATCAACTTGCTTTTCATATAAAGTATTGTTATTTTGACAGCCTTAGGCTTTATGGAGAAGGAAAGAACACCATGCACTAACCAGAATGTGAATTGTCTGTGGGGCTCTCAATTTCCTGTTCTTGGTTCCCGTTATTGTCAGATTCCTCCTCGATTTCCTCCTGATGTCTCTGAGACTCTATATCTCCTTCCTGCTGAGCATCTGACAAGGCTCTAAAATACTCTCTGTTTTCCGTTGATTTCTATAGTGAAATTTACAAGTTTAACCAAAATTTAAGAGTTATCTATATTAATATGAAAACTTGTTCAAATATTTAAACCTTTGAAAAATGATTCAAAGGTAGATGGGAGAACAATATTATCACAGTTCTTCCTGTTTATTTTTAAACTAAGATAAATAAACTTCAACAGGACATATTTTCCAGGTGCTTCATCTTCGCTAGCCAAGGATTCTTATACACAACTCTCCTCATAAGCCCTTTGCATTCGGTGTTAAAAAAGTTGAGATTTTTTTCTCAAGTTGTGATTGGAGAGGATCGACATCGATAGACCAATCAGCAAATGCTTTTTGTAGATGACGATATCTGAGTTCGGGACATATCTTGACTCCTTACTCTCGGGAATGAAAAACGCAAGTAAACAACGATCATATTATTCTATGAATGGAAATGGTATCATCCAATATCTGAAGATAATTATGTGAAAAATATGATAAGGAATCTATATTAAAGATGTAGATTTGCACTTAAAATTAAAAATGAAAAATCAATACCTTCCAGTTAAAAATTCTTTTTCATGTTTTAAATACATTATTTTTTGTTGATGAAGCAATCTCTGCGTGCCTGTTTAAATTCGAGATCACGACGAAAACGGTCATTTCTTTTCACGGACCGTATGTCAAGGATTTATGAGGACAATAGCGTATCAGAAAACCCATGTCAAGCGAAGATGCAGATGCTTATGCAAAAAAAAAAAAAAAAAAGGTTTTCAGGTCAGTTTTTCCCAAACTAAATTTGAGAGGGAGGCCTTTTATTTCTCATAAAAAAAAACAAATGCGGTATTTTTGAAAAAAAAAAATTTAAAAAAAGCAACTTTTTATCAACAGTGCCTTAATATTGACTGTAGAAATCAAGACAATTTATTCCCTGCTCCTCTCTCCTGCATTTTCCACATTCCGATGATTTGTGTGATGAAACAACGACATCCTTAAAACCAGACACGTGTCAAAATTTTGAAACCCAACACTTTTAGTGATGCATCTGGTTAATTGCTTACATAACACAACTTTTCTAAGAAAGTTTCAGTACTACAAATTGCGTTTATGATTTTATTAAACGTCACATTATCAGTCTTTAGCTTATACACACTAAATGAAATCCGCGATTCTTGGAGACGTCCATTTAGTTCCGAGGTTGAGGGAACCGTCTTTGATAGCGTTATTATGTTCTAGCATGGAGCAAATTTCAGACCCCACCACTACATGTATGTGCCATGGAAGTATGACAGTTATTCCCTTATGGATATAAACCGAAATTAATGCCATCATGACCTGAAACTTAATTTTGATGTCTTAATCTGTTAATTCGACTGTCATGTTTGCAATTTTTAAGAAGGACAATAGTTTGGATCATCTTGATGTTTGTCAAGTTTTGCAGATTCAAAAATGCAGACAAAAAGGGACCAAGTTTTTAATTTTGTTTTGGTCCAAGTATTCAACACGTTGATTTAGGAGGTATGTGAATATTTTTTGGCTTACCTCTTTTTTTGGTTCAAGGACATAATAAAGGGAATCCAAAGAAACATTGGAGGACAGAGGTCGGTCATCTCTCATTGCATCTGAAAAACAATTTAATACACATTGTGGCATAGTGGGTCATACTTCCTGTCCAAAGTATTATCAACTTGCTTTTCATATAAAGTATTGTTATTTTGACAGCCTTAAGCTTTATGGAGAAGGAAAGAACACCATGTACTAACCAGAATGTGAATTGTCTGTGGGGCTCTCAATTTCCTGTTCTTGGTTCCCGTTATTGTTAGATTCCTCCTCGATTTCCTCCTGATGCTTTTGAGACTCTATATCTCCTTCCTGCTGACCATCTGGCAAGACTCTTAAATTCTTTCCGTTTCCCGTTAATTTCTGCAGTGAAAATTACGAGTTTAACCAAAATTTTACAGTTATCTCTTTTTGTTTTCCCAAACGAGTAATGTTTTTTTTTTTAAATTCATATATGATATATCTATATAAATATAAAAACTCATTCAAATATTAATTTTTTTTAAAAATCAACTTAGAGATGTGCGGAGAACTATACTATCGTTCTCAGCTATTCCAGTTTTTTAAAACTTTATAGATAAAAAATAAACCCCACTCTAAAAGAACACATTTTCCAGGTGCTTCATCTTCGTTAAACAAGGTTTCAGATTCACAACTCGATCTCCTCATAATCCCTTGTCATTTCGTGTTAATCATAAAAGTTGGGATTTTTATCACAAGTTGTAATTGGCGTGGATCGACATCGATCGTACTTGTTCAAACACGAAATCACTTGACGAAAACGGTCCCTTCTTTTCATAGCACCATATGCCAAGCGTTTATGAGGAGAGAGCGTATCAAAATGGCTAGCGAAGATGCAGATGCTTTGGCTAGAAAAATTAATAACGTGGTTCTCAGGCCAGTTTTTCAAATAAATAAATAAATAAATAAATAAATGCGAGAGGGAGGCTTTTCCCCCTTTATAACTCATTAAAAACAATCGCAGGCTTTTGATTTTTTAAAATAATTTCAAAACTAGCAACTTTTAAGCAACAGGCTTTAACATTGATTGTATATTTCAAGACAATTTATTCCCTGCTTCTCTCCTGCATCTTCCACATTCCGATGATTTGTGTAATGAAACGACATCCTAAAAACCAGACATGTGTCAAAGTTATAGAACCCAACACTTTAAGGGATGCATCTTGTCAATTGCTTACATAACACAACTATTTAAGAGTGTTTGAGCACTATAAATAGTGCTTATGATTTTATTCAACGTCAAAATTATCAGCCTTTGGTTTATCCACACTAAATGAAATCTGTGATTCTTCCTGACGTCCATGTTCCGAGGTTGAGGGAGCCGTCTTTGAAAATGTTATTAAGTTCTAGCATGGAAGAACCGTCAGAAACCCCACTATGTGCCATGGAAGAATTACAGTTATTCCCTTATGAATTTGGACTGAAATTAATGCCCTAATGACCATGCGGATGTGACTGGTCAGCATGTGATGCTCACTCCTCCATGGCACCTGATCCTACCTCTGATGTTTCGGAGGTCCATGTTTGCTCTGCTCCTATTTGTATTGTTTAAAGGACTTTGAAATTGAATACTGTTCTTTATCTCCATATCCTTCTGTTAATCCCAAGATAATAAGCACCACCCTCAAATTCACTTGGTCTGTATTCCCCCATCAATCAAGCTTCAGCGAATTAAGGTCCATCAGTGGGTACTTAAAATTCATTGACATTTAGCTATTAGTCCCTGTGTATAACTCTTTCACCTAATTTGACACTTGTTGCCACTATCTGATTAACTTTCTTTTGATGTTTACCAGCGCATTAAGGAAGCCATTTCGATGCAAACAATTTTAGGTTTATAATTGCGTGTATATATACATGTGTACATATAACAACTTTACGATACCATCGTTCTCGCGATGTTTTCCCAATAGGACATATTTGCTAAAAATAAGACCACGCGACTTTTCAAACAAACGGGAAGCAACTGTTGCTATTGGCCGTGATCAAAGACTCTATATACGAAAATTATAAATGTTTTTTTTTACATTGAAAAGGACATCAGGGAAGGATGAATATTTTAATTTGAAAGTGTACACGTGCTTTATTATTTTCTTTACAATGGACTCAAATCATTGCTGCTGTGGCGTACAATGTAAGCCTAAGGTAGATACCATAGATTTTTACAAAAGTTGACCGGTGAGATTTCTGCTTGTTTGATATTAATTATAACTCTGAAATTATAGAATTTACAATTATCATTTATTGCTAGTGATTTTTGTCTATTTTCAATGCGAGATTTACTGATTTTATGGTGAGAATGGAGGCCAAACAAGTTGTACAGGTAATATTCATTGACTTCCTCTGTATATTGTTTGTGTATAGGGAATAGCGTTCTCCATGGTCTTCACGAACGTTAATGCCTCTGTGTGCCATGCATGTAAAAGTAAGTCCCTCCCTTTATCTGAGCAAACAGTATGGTTAAAAATATCGACCTTTATCTCAGGGTTGGCAAAAAAGCGGGAATTTACTCATATTTCCCAGGAGGATGGTGGGAAATACAGGTACATGTATTGATGTAATTCCCAGGAATTACTGGTATTTCCCGGGAAATAAGAAATAGCTACAGTAACTTATCTATAACTTGAATCATCTCATTTAGTACACCTAATTTATTAAGAAACAACCTTGTATCACTTCCATGATTAAAAAAATGATTTTGTAATATTTCAGTTTAAATAAATGAAATGAACATAAAGCTTTCCTTTTAGAATTTCTTTATGTAAATAAAGATGGCCTGAGATATTGGTAGTATTTACCTAAATGGGAAATGCCGGTATTTACCACTGGTAATTACCACCGGTCGCCTTGCTTTAACTCGACTGCCATATTTGCAATTTTTAACTTCCGGGATAGGCCAATAGACTAGATCATCCTGATGTTTTTTTTTTTTTTTTACATTTTACTGGTTCAAAATCGTAGTCAAAATGCAGTGGGAAATCCGGAGGATACAAATGGGTAGCTATTCTCCAGGTAGATTAAGGAAGTACGTGACTATTTTCTAGCTTACCTCTCTTTTTTCGGTTAATTCCATTATAATAGAATCCCAAGAAACCTTGTAGGATTGAGGTTGTTCACCAAACCTTGCATCTGAAAAAACAATTTAATACACATTGTGGTATAGTGGGTCATACTTCCTGTTCAAAGGACTATCAACTTGCTTTTTATACAAAGTATTGAATACTTATTTTGACAGCCTTAGGCTTTATGGAGAAGGAAAAAACACCATGCACTAACCAGAATGTGAATTGTCTGTGGGGCTCTCAATTTCCTGTTCTTGCTTCCCGTTAGTGTTAGATTCCTCTCTGAGTTCTTTCTGATGCCTCTGGGAATCTATATCTCCTTCCTGCTCACCATCTGACAAGGCTCTAAAATACTCTCTGTTTTCTGTTGATTTCTTAATTGAAAATCACAATTAAGTTTAACCAAAATTTTAGAGATATCCCTCTTTCTTATCCCATATGAGTAATGTTTTATGAAATTTATATACAAAAATACCTTTATAAGAATGAAAACTCATTCAAATATCTAAACTTTTAGACTTGACCTAGAGGTAGACAGAAGAGAAATTCTATCATTTACAGAACGTTCTTCCAGTTTTTTAGACTAATTTAAAGATAAAAAAGCAAATTCAAAGAATTGTGGCCCCCTCTTTCGGTGTTTTTGTGGTTGAGATGTCATTTTTTTTATGACACAAAGTGTCAAATATGAAGGCCCTATCATTTGCCATTTGAAGTTTTCATCGAAGTTGATTTTTTTGAAAATTAGGTTAGACTTGTCTTCAAAGAAAAAAAGGTCCCGAAGTCAAAAATTATATCGTAGTTAGAAAGGTCTTGTCATGAAAAAGGTTTAAGTTTTTTTTTTTTTTTAAAAATTGGTCAAGCTTCAAGGGCAAGGTAACCAGGTAAAAAATCATAGTGTATTTAGAAAGGTCTTGTCACAATTAATGTACATATTTAATATAAAAGCCCTATCTCTTCTCATTTAAAAGTCATGACCAATTCAATGTAATGTTTATTTTTTTAAACGTACATGTAGGTCAAACTTCAAGGTCATGAGGTCAGAAAAAAAGTGTATTTAGATGTCATCATGACCAAACTTAATCTTGATACCTTAACCTATTAAACTGACTGCCATATTTGCAATTTTTAACTAGGCCAATAGACTGGATCATCTTGACGTTTGTCAAACGTTTTACCAATTCAAAAATGCAGTCGGGAATTCCAGATTCTTTTTTGGCACTACACGAGTGCATGATCAAAATATTTTATTCATCAGGATAAAAATGGGTAATGCACATTGATGAATTGAGATGCAGGCGGCCCTGAAAACCAAAATATTAATTTTTTTAGGTCTTAGTTTTCTCCAGGTATATTAAGGAGATTTGTGACTATCCTCCATCTTACCTCTTCTTTTGGGTCAATGACATGAAAAACGGAATCAAAAGAAACCTTGGAGGACCGAGGTTGGTCATCGCTCATTGCATCTGAAAAATATTTTATAACACATTGTTCTAAAGTTGGTCATACTTCCTGTCCAAAAGATTATCAACTTTTTTTGGACCCAAAGAAAGGAATTGTTATTTTGACAGCCTTTAAGCTTATAATGGGGAAGGAAAGAACATCATGTACTAACCAGAATGTGAATTGTCTGTTGAGCTGTCAATTTCCTGTTCTTGGCTCCTGTTTTTGTCTGGTCCCTCCTCTATTTCCTCCTGATGCTTCTGTGAATCTATAATATCTTCTTCCTGCTGACCATCTGGCAAGGCTCTAAACGCACCCACCCCTAAACCACCACCAACATTGATGGTTTTGTGTCCCAGAATGTTTGAGCCAAAGGCTTCTCTTAAGTGATACCTGGAAACATGGTAATCAAAGATTACAGAGCTCACCTCAACGAATGTCAAATTTAATAGGAAAGGAAATATCACATCATCTTTTTCTATTTAGTATGCATTCCAAGTTCAACATCCTAGCATGTTTGGTTTAAATATGACTTTAAGTTCGTTGGAAATGAATCTGCTCCAAAAACTGCAACCTGTTAACTATTTTTAAGAAAATGATAGTAAATAGTTCCAAATCTGGATCAAGTCCGGAAGAGTCCATCCTAAGATGCAAGATTAATCATAATATCGTGTCACTCATCTGGAAAATGTAGGTCAGATCCAGCATCCGAAGCCAGTTTGGTAGTGTCCATTTGCATTTTTCATGCAAGTTTGGTCCAAGTAGGGCTTATAGTTACTCAGAAATGGACCTGCTCCAAAAAACTTTAACCTAATCACTCATCTGGAAAAGGTGCAAGCGAGATCCAGCATTATTCATGCAAGTTTGTTCCAGGGACCTTATTGTTACTTGGGAATAGACCTGCTCAAAGAACCTTAATCTGGTCACTTATCTAGAAAATGTATGTCAGATACAGCATTTAAAGCAAGTTTGGTGGTGTCCAACACTAAGACACATAATCCATGTAAGTTCTGTCCAGGAAGGCTTTATAGTGACTTGGGAATAGACATGTTCCTAAAACCGGGATGCCAACACTAGTTCTGATTCTGACGCCGATTGTATATCGTAAGGCTAAGCTCTTCTTGACTTTGTCAAGGTGAGCTAAAAATGAGATTGTGGGACAGACTTTTAAGGATTAACTTTATGAAAATGATATTATTAAAGTTTTCAGAAACATTTTTTGGTAATTTTTTATAGAACTTGAAAACCATAGAAACTAAATACTCACGGATCCACCGATGAAGTATCTGAATATGAATAGGATCTCCCCTGTCTACGATACAGAAGGTATACCAGTATAGAGATTATCAGGAATAGAATGAGTGCCAGGGGTAATCCCAAGGCCAGGCCGAAAATAAGGTCAGTGTTAGATGGCTCTGTAATACAAAACAAGGATTTGTTAAATCTAATTTTGATAAGAATAACGTTATTGTAGGCATGTCATAGTAAAATATAACAGTAGCCTTTGTTACCATATGCTGCTTGAACTTAATTTCTTCTTAAAGCATGCAGGAACATCAACTATATACATATTATTCTTAAAAAAATGGATATTCCTGTCAACAAAATTGTCTGAATTGTGAGGAATTCATAGATCTCTAAATCATATTTATGCACATTGTACAAAGTACATGTACACTGTCTGAAACTGAGAATCAGAATAATAGACTTACCTTCTGTCTGTGCAGGGTTGGTAACTGTTGTAGATGGTGCTTCTCTGATAGAGAAAATATACAGTTATATGTACAGAGTTCAGTGGAAGTGACAATATGAGAAATAACTTAGAATAACAGAATTTTAGGAATCAGTATCTACTTACACACAGCGGTAGTTGTTTGTTTCTGATACACAGATCTGTTGTTTGGAACAGGTATAGCAGATAACTGCAACTGTTTGAGAAAGACAAAAAATCATCATTCAATACTGTATACATACATATAAATACCGGTATGTTAAAAAGAAAATCTTTCTGAAATAATACACAAAATTAAAAATTTTATGTACACTTTGATACATTTTTGAAACTAATAGGGCTTGATAGAGAGATAAATCAATGTGTCTGCCGAAAGGTTAAATGATTAAACAAGTCTGAAATCTGTTTCAGGGTACTGTAAACCATCTTTTATTCGCTTGCGAGAAATTTTCGCGAAGTTCGCGAGAGCCTCATCATCGCGAATATTTTCTCGCCGCGAACTGGTCATTAAAATGTATGTGTCTATTAACAAGATATTTTAAAAGGCTTGATCGCGAAGTTTATTCCTGGTAAATCGCGAAATAAAGTCGTCGCGAATAAAAGTTGGTGTACAGTACTTATCTTCATAAATACCTTTAATATACATTGTCTCAACTATGAAAATTGACGGGGGTTAATTTTGGTTGATTTTGAGGTATGAAGAGATGTTCCATGCCACATAATGTAAATGTTAAAATATATAACAACTTTTCAACCACAAATCAAATTCACATGAAAACATATATAAATAATATTTTTCTCAAACCATGAAAATCTAACCGCGCAAAAATATGTGATTATATCGTGTTTTGTTGAAAATAGCATACTAACCAAGACTAGTACTGTTCCCTATGTAGGTTTGATTCCTGAGTTTGATACAACTGGTCTCCACTGTCAAGCAGTTCTTCTTGTCCACATTGTCATACAGCTCTAGTGCGACTGTCCTTGTGTTAGCCTCCGTTATAGTAGTATTCATGAACAGCAATACAGCGATCTCAGTTGTACCTCCCGAAAGCTCTCTACAACATAGCAATTTTTTGGTAAGTGATATGTGGGGTTCAGAATAATAATGACTTTGATTTTCTCTGTAAGAAATCCTGTTTATAAATCTACAATACATGTATATATATCTTACCTGAATTCTTGGATGAAAATATCCATTAAATTTGGAGAGGACAGAATTCTTCTCAACTGAAAAGTTAAAAATTAATATATGTTTATATGACATTTTCCGAGGAAAACATTCTGACTTATTAGAATGGAATACTAAGATATGTTAATTGAAAGAAATTCAAATAAGTTTGCTTTCAAAATTATAGGTTTATATTTGAAGGCAGTCTTACTGAAGAAGAAATCTTGTCAGCGTACTGCCTAAATCCCAGTGTACGTGAGTTACTTAGATGAGGCTCGAAAGTTTTCTCCAAGGACAGTTGGACGGTCAGAGTCTTGTCTTCATCTGCAATTTACCCAGATTAACAAATGTACTTCTATAAATGATCTTATATACGCATAAAACAATAAAACGTGCATGTAGCCAAGTACCAGGGACCAATAATGTAGATTCATTATAGCTTTTAAGCTAATTTGTAAGTGTATAACATGTTTCAAATTCTCAAGAAAAGAAAATCACTTTGACGTAAGCATAAATTCATTATAAGTATGTACGCTATAACTGCGTTTTACTGTATTCAGTTGTAGTTTTTTAGCTCACCTGAGCCGAAGGCTCAAGTGAGCTTTTCTGATCAAAATTTGTCCGTCGTCTGTCGTTGTCGTAAACTTTCCACATTTTCATCTTCTTCTCAAGAACCACTAAGCCGATTTCAACCAAACTTGCCACAAAGTATCCTCGGGTGAAGAGGATTCAAGTTTGTTGAAATGAAGGGCCACGCCCTTTTCAAAGGGGAGATAATTATGAATTAGAGAAAAATTAATGGCATTTTTTAAAAATCTTCTTCTCAAGAACCACTGGGCCAGGAAAGATGAAACTCATGTGGAATCATCCTCAGGTGGTGTAGATTCAAGTTTGTTCAATTCATGACCCCCGGGGGTAGGGTGGGACCACAATGGCCGATCAAAGTTTTACATAGGAATCATAGGAAAAATCTTTAAAATCTTCTTCTCCAGAACCACTGGGCCAGGAAAGATGAAATTCATATAGAATCATCCTCAGGTAGTGTAGATTCAAGTTTGTTCAAATCATGACCCCCGGGGGTAGGGTGGGGCCAAAATGGCCGATCAAAGTTTTACATAGGAGTATATAGGAAAAATCTTTAAAAATCTTCTTTTCCTGAACCACTGGGCCAGGAAAGATGAAATTCATATGGAATCATTCTCAGGTAGTGTAGATTCAAGTTTGTTCAAATCATGAACAGGGTGGGGCCAAATTGGCCGATCAAAGTTTTACATAGGAATATATAAGGCAACCTTTTAAAATTTTCTCTTCAAGTATTTCAGAGCCATGATTAGTAATATTTATATGGAATCATCCTCAGGTAGTGAAGATTCTAGTTCGTTCAAATTATGATCCCCGGGGGGGGGCGTTAAAATTCAAGCCCCCTTCCCCACCTCAGTAAACTTTCAGTTCTGATCTGATATGTCCTTTTTCCTAGCCGATGTGCTCAGGTGAGCACTGTGGCCCCTGGGCCTCTTGTTTTTTTATTATTTTTTGGAATAACACATTATAAATGTATTATGTAGTGTATAAGAATGAATTAAATTCTCTTGAAGTTGGACTTACCAAAAGAAGGCCTGCATGTAAAAGAAAAACATTAAAACCAAATGAGAAAAAAACATGACAGAAATAATCATCTTTTACTTAAGGTATGTCACTCGTCAGCTTTTTAGAAAAGTTCACGCAGATCCTCTTGCAAAACTATTCATTAAAATTCAATTTTACAACAATGTTAATGTTTTAACATTCAACAGAAAAACTGCTCAAATAGATACAAAGAAGCAAGATTTATGAGGGACTATTTCTTGTGGTGGAAGGATATTAAGCAGATAATTCTGCAAATCTGCACATTTATTGGATTAAATATTTTGGAACCTTAGCTTCAAATATTTTTACTCGGAGAATATTTTCCGTTACGATATTGTTTGGAATATTTAATATAGGTCTTAATTTATATTTTTAGAACAAGTTTTACACTTTCCTTCAACAAACTTTGCCAAAAAATAAAGATATGTCAAATAAGTCTAGATAAAATATATACCATTTTTCGCCTGAAAATTACATATTCTGACCAATATTTCAAAATTAAAACCACTGACACCAACTTTTTCTTTCATTAGTTTAAAGTACTTGATATTTGTGACTGATCAACATTTAAGTCGTAAAAAGCTTGATTTAAGAAAATGTTTTATTGCCTATTTAGTTTTTTAATATCCCAAATATGTTACCTTTTAGTGCAAAAAGGTCACACAATAATTTACGCGCATTATTTTGCAATATTTGTTCGGTGATAAATATTATTCAAACTATTTTATGTAAAATAAAATTATATTTATCACCATAGTTACATCTGATAAAATATGATCAAGGTTAAGGTAATTTACCAAAGAGTTAAAGTTTAAGTGCAAAGAGGTCAACTTAATGGCACCGTAGATCAGTAAGATGCACACTGACCCCCCATTTTTTCTGTGATTTTGAGTTACACTATATGAGTACTTATCCAAAATATACTTCTCAAAAAATCCTTGATTTAACAAATTTCACAAGTGACATACCTTAAAATATTATATTAATATATAGAAAACCTTGACAGAATCATACACAATTATGATCTTAAGATGGACAGATGGACTCTGTAGTGATCATTATGGAACATCAGCATATTAAATGTTTGGAGGCCTTTAAATTAAATTCGACACTTGTTGGGTATCATGCATTCATGTTTTAATTGAATTGAATCATCCATTCTTATATCTAAAGTTTACGTTCTCAAAGTTATAAATAGTCACAGAAACATGTATACCTGCACAGATAATCCGTCTCATTGATATAATAACAGGAATCTGGACACAGAACACAGATAGCTGGTTCTACAAATACAATGTACAGGGAATTATATAAACACAGAATACATTTAGCTTGCTCTACAAATACAATGTACAGTCAATCATAAATACAGCAGTCAATTATAAATACAGAATATAGATAACTGGTTCTACGAATGCAATATACAGGAAATTTATAAACAAGGCCCTTAGTTAGATCCTGGCTAATTATGGTCGACAATCAGTATTTTCTTTGGAACAAACTTTCAATGTACATATGATACAATGTAAAGTGAAATTCGTCCCAATCCTTGGGTATACATATGAAGCATGAGCTTATTTCATTTCTGTCTTTGGAAATAGGACATGTACCTATACCAGTTTATCTGAATGTTAATGTAATTTTAGTCCACAAACATTGGGTCATTAAATACTTTGGCAAATCAAATGATCAATTTAATAAGATTCAACCAGTACTTGACAATTAAGTTGGTTTCAGTTGTGGAAACTATTTGGATTCGTGGTCACCTTTGGTTTCCACACAGCGGAAACTTGATGAAACTTGAAGTTAATTCTGCACTGAAACTAAGCGGATACTATTAGTTTCCACGAAGTTTCAGTAGAGTTTCAGCCATGCGGAAATTGTATTTTTCATCCAGTGACCCAGTCACATTTTCTGAAATGACCAGCAATCAATGGTTTTTCAGGCAAAAATAGGATTCATAGGGCGACAGACGGCAGCTCATGGCCCATTGTCTTCCCCTATTAAATTTGTGTCTGTTGGGCCATTTTATATTTACCTTGACTAGATCCAATAGTGGCTTCCTTTAATAGGTTGTATTGGGCGGTGGACACAGTGATTTGGGTCTTACGAAGATTGACCAATGCCTGGCTTACATTGGTGATATCATTTGATGTTTTGTCTTGTTGCAGTACTAGGTAGAACTCAACTGTTGTGTCGCCCGCTCTAATGAAAATAACAAGAACTTCATTCATTTTGATAGTCATACAAAAATACAGTATATTTTACTCTTCAAAATGCTTTATGAATATTATCATTTTTAAGACATTTTGAAGTTTAAAGCTTTCTTGTTAATTACATTTGCATAAAATAATTTATAAATGAATGTTGTACATTTAGCTGAAGTCTTAAATCATGAACTTACTGTACTTCGCCAGTCCTGTAAAACACAGACAACAAATGAACAAATATAGAAATAGCAACATGCAGAAATACAATGTCTTTTCTAATACCTGAATTTACATAAATCCTTTCATCATAAACACATGCAAATCTTCACTTAACATTTTTTAAAAATGTGATTATATACTCACCGAAATTTTGTAACGATTGCTATTATATTTACTAAACCAGGAATTCCCCTGAATATATTCGTCAACTGTAAAAATCAAGTTTAAAAAGATCTGAAGTTCTAATACATGTATGTGTATATGTATCAATGTAGGAAAAATAATACCATTATATAATAAATGAGAGTATTTTAACTAACAGAATCCTCAAAGTCTTTCTTGGTGTTTTTATAAGTGGTGCTAGAGGAAAGAAGGAGGTCACTATTAAATGGGTAGTCTGTTGTCATGTTGATCACAATTTTATTGTCCAAAGCTGAAAAAAAACATCACGTTCAATTCTGAAAACACAACAATCTTTTGAAACCAAAAACTATATTCAACTAATCGTTATAATCTACAAAGGAATTAAGTACACATGAATAAGGAATTATAAAGAGGAATACAAACCAATGCAAGTTCTGTTGTCACTGGGGTTGAGTCGTGAGTTGGAGTCACAGTAACATTCAGGACTTCCGTTCGAGATCCTACAGGCATAGGAGCACTCCTTAGGCTGACCATTGGCATTACAAGGATCATAAGTAGGGTCTGAAGCGTGGTAAATACAAGGAAATTAATTACCCTTGTAGCTTTAAAGAATCAAAAATTCAATACACATGATCAATAATAGGAAAAAAATTAATTTAAATAAGAGGCCCATGGGCCACATTGCGCATCGGAGTAACTGTTGTGATGCAGTTTGCTTTACCAGATTTTCCACCTTGTAATACCTATTGTGGCCCCCATCCCAAATTATAACTTTAATAATTTAGAATCTACTCTATCCAAGGATGCTTACATATGTTTCAGCTTTTCTGATCCATTGGTTCTTGAGAAGATTTCTAACACTTTTTCCTAGATATTTCTATGTAAAACTTTGATTTCCTGTTGTGGCCCCGCCCTACTCCCGGGGTCATGATTTGAACAATTTAGTATCTACACTATCCAAGAATGTTCTACATAAGTTTCAGCTTTTCTGATCCATTGGTTCTTGAGAAGATTTCTAAAGATTTTTCCTATATATTTCTATGTAAAACTTTGATTTCAATCATTTTAATAATTAACGATCTACACTATCCAAGGATGCTTCCACATAAGATCAGCTTCTCTGATCCAATGTTTTTTGAGAAGAAGAATTTCAAAGATTTTTATTATATATTATTATGTAAAACTTTGATTCCTACGGAAGCCCATTTAGGACCTATCAAAAATATTATTGAATTCGTTATAACGATTTTTAGAATTCGTTATAACGAATTTAATTTGTTATAACAGATTTATTGAATTCGTTATAACGAATTTAATCTGTTATTACAGATTTGTTGAATTCGTTATAACCAATTCAAGATTTTGGTTATAATGAATTCAACAAATATGTAATAACAGATTAAATTCGTTATAACGAATTCAATAAATCTGTAATAACAAATTAAATTCGTTATAACTAATTCAATGAATCTGTTATAACAAATTAAATTCATTATAACGAATTCAATGAATCTGTTACAACAAATTAAATTCGTTATAACGAATTCAATGAATCTGTTTTAACAAATTTAATTCGTTATAACGAATTTAATAAATCTGTTATAACAAATTAAATTCGTTATATTGAATTCTAAAAATCGTTATAACGAATTCAAAAATATTTTTTGATAGGTCCTAAATGGGCTTCCGTAGATTCCCTATTGTGGCCCCGCCTTACCCCCGAGGGCATGATTTTAACAATTTAGTATCCACATAATTTAAAGCGTTTCTGGCCCAGTGGCTCTTGAAAAGATTTCATAATGACTTCAACCTATTTTTGTCTTTTCTTGATCATCTCGACTTGTAAGGGAACTTGGCCTTCATTTTAAAAATTATACTCTCCATCACCTAAAGATGCTTTGTATTAAGTTTGGTTAAAATTGGCCCAGTGGTTCTTGAGAAGTTGAAAATAAATGTGAAAAGTTTACAGACGGACGGATAGAAGAACAGCGGATAATGAGTGATCAGAATAGCTCACTTGAGCTTTCAGCTCAGGTGAGCCAAATCAAGAGGTCAATGGGCTTTATAGGTCATCTGAGCATCATGCAACAATTTTCCAATGATTGAATTTGGTTCATGTTTTGAAGTAGACGCCATTGCATTCACAATTTTGAAAGACGCATCTATGCTAATCATAACTATATACACTTAGCAATTGCTTAGTTTGGTTATTTAATACCCATAGGCAGGATAGGGAAACAAAAATGTATTTTAACTTATCAGTAATATTAAGCAATAATCTGTAGCGCCCGTACCACACATGAACCCCTGACCCTAGCTCCACATATTTCATATTTTTGGAAAAGGCACCCTTGATTATCAAAAATGTTTGACTAATACCAAGGAGCAGATATCAATAAAATTAAAACCGCTATAGGTACGTCAATGAATTTTTAAATATTTAGTTATCATCATCTTTTCTATCTACAAAATAAACCATAAATCATAAATTTTATTATTTAATAAATTAGTAATGTTTTGTAAGCAATAGTATGCCCAGGCGGCGCAACCTCGAACACGACGTTTTTGCGACCTAAGTGTAACTAAGATAAACTATATTGATATAAACATTTGACATCCAAATATCCCGTTAATTCAGGTATACGTTGGGACACTATTGTTCCATAAAATATGGAATTTTTACCTCATTCTGGAAGTTCTATGAAATTTTTATCATGAATTTTACATGGAGTATCCAAACAAATATTGCCTTGAAAATGACGTCAAAAGGGGGGAGGGGTTTCCTTTTCCAACTTTTTATGAAGTTTTGCCCCTGGAAAAAATGGTATATACACATAGGAATGTTTAAACTGGCTATGGAAAAATAATTTGCATCCACGTTACTTGTTTTTTAAATGCCAAAATAGACTCAGAGAGAAGAGGGATGCAAAGTTCATGTCGATTTGTAGTCAAGGTTTGAAAAATCTATCACGTCAAATAATGACGTTGATCATGTGTTTTAGCTATATATTAAACTCCATAAAGCAAATATGCTGGCACGATCAAGCGAGGATCTCCCACAATGAATAAATTCATTTGCAATAATATATGCATGTAAGCTGCTGTTCATGACATTGTAAAGTCATAAAAAAAACAAGACGGGTTGAAGTCCTTACTCAGCTCTAGGGAATGTCATCAAAATAAGTGTACGATGTAGAAGCGGAGATTAAAAAATAATGATGTTGTCGGACGTCATGAAACTAAGCGGAGACAGCGCCGGTGATAATATAATGTCGTTTATATTTAATGATAATTTGGGAAATAATGAACGTATAAAGCTAAAATTTTCAACATTTCTTTATTTTTTGTTGTTTTATGTTCCTTATAAATATTGTAAGCTCAGACAACATAGTACTAATTTTATAGCCCCAGTCCACGAACTTTTTGATAACCCCTCGTAGGTATTGTTTATCTGCTTAATACCCAGGTGCAGAGAAGAAAATTTTCAAAGAATTGATGTATTTTCACAATATAATCAACAGAGCCCCGACCTAACACCAGAACCCCTGACCCTGGGGCCATAAAGTTCATAATTTTGAAAGAGGCATTCTTGTTCGTCAAAACAATGTACTTAGCTAGTTTATTAATACCTAGAAGCAGAGAAGATTTTTAAAGAATTGAGGTATTTTCACAATAGTATAATATTAAATCAATAGACTAGTAATGGAATAGTAAAGAATCCTCAACTCTAAGGCCATGAAATTCACAGTTGTGGAAGAGGCATTCTTATTGATCGTAACTATGTTCTTAGTTTATTTAATACCAAGGAGACGAGAAGACGATTTTCAAAGAAGTAATGCATTTTCACTAAATAATCTATATAGACCCGCTCAAGCACTAGAACCTCTGACCCCGTGGCCATGGATTTCAACATTTTGTGAAAAGACTCAATGTTCAATATAAACATGCCAACAGTTTGACTACTTAATGCCAGGTGTAAAGTAAAAGATTTCTAAGTTTGCATTAATTTTTGTGGTTTTGGCCCCACCCCTCAGGCCCCAGGGGTACAGGGACCATGAAATTCACAATTTCCGTTTCCCTTCATCCATATATAATTTATGCCAAAATTGGACTAAATTGGTTGAACGGTTGCAGAGAAGAAGCTGAAAATGTTCAAATGTTATAATTTGACACAGGACACAGAACACACACTGCACGACGACGGGCGAAAACGGATAGCAATAGGTCACATGGGATTACTAAGGTGACCTTAAAATTCACAAAGAATTTTCTGATATCAAATGTATGAAAGGTTTGAAATATTAACCGTTTTTTTTTTAATTTGGTAAAACACAATGTGGACAGACTTGATTAACCATGCATAAATGCCTTAGAACTTATTTCTGCAGAAAACATGAAGTAAGATACCATTGATAATTTCTACACTTTACACAAAGTAAGACGTACCTTTGTTACATGTGAAAAGGTCCTCAGCCAGATCAAAGCCTGGATTACACTTGCAGTGGTACCTTCCTGAAGTGTCCACACAAATCTGTTGGCAGTCATCGGTCTGTAGTGTACACTCATCAACATCTGGAATGTATTTTTGTGTTATTCGAAAACATGTTATTGATTTAACAGGCTTAAAATGCTAATTTTTTAATTTAATAAAAAAGAAGCATTTTAAGCCTGTTAAATTAATTCATTACATTGTTCCAGCTAGGGGGAAATGGAGGGGCATTGCCCCTGCCCTCAAATAAGTGCGCCCCTCTGCCCCTAACAGGCACCCCTGTGTCCCTTTTTAGTGTTCTATATCATTTTGACTGTCCTTTTCACTCAGTAGAATAATTAGGAAGTTTCAAAGCAGATTGCCTAAGATCAATCAACAATTCACACCTCCTGTCATAGTCGATTACGTAATAATTAACACCTCAACTTCAGTTCAATATACTTCGTAAAAATAAGAGTTTCTTACTTGTGCATGTTTTGTTGTTATTATCCAGTTGAAATCCTTCATTACACGCACAGCTAAAACTTCCCATGATATTCTGACAGCGCTGGGAACAGTCATGCTGATTGGTCGCACACTCATCAATATCTAAAAAAAATATCATTTTAATCATCCAATGCAAAATAGTAAGTCTAGACCTTACTTAAACCACAGATTTATACTCTGTGCTTGAATAGCAAAAAAAATGTCTGAAAAAAGCAAAATAAAATCTCTCAAAAACATGTCCAAGAATTACTGAGCAAAACAAATCAATACAAAACAACATTGTTTTCCTCTTGGAAAGAAATATGCTTTCACTTTATGCTGTGTACAGTTCCTTTTATTGTCAATTTATCATGCAAGAATGTTTATCAATTTTTATCTTATTTCGTTGGCTCTAACGAGAGAACAAATTTTAAAATAATATTGTAAAATGAAACAGCAGTAAAATGAAACTAACTGTACAATCTGTCTGACTGATTTTTTTAATTGAAATATATGAAGATAACAAACAGTATTCAAGCTCATAAGTCCATCATACAAAGAACTTTATGCGGTATTAACCAATATTTGCCCCCCCAAATCAAACTTTGATGGAAATATATTTAATTAAGTTCTTAAACAGGGGAGTATATTCTAGCTTCGAAGCACTGAATATTTTCATAAGTAATGACGTCATATGTACGTAATGACGTCACAAACATGACGTAAATTTCAGTTTTTTATGAATTTTACAGAAAAATGTACATTTTTCGTCGATATTTTGAGTAAAAGTCACCGAGCGCATGCGTGTTCAGGATGAATATTTTAAAATAATGTGTAGAATGATAATATCAATGAAATGTGTCAATATTGTTCCTGAACACACATGCGCTCTATAAATTTCAAAGCTAAAATTGTTGAAATTTTGTCCATTTTGTCTTCTTTCTGAAATCTCGTTTTCACAAGATATTATGTCGTTTTCACAACATATTATGTCGTTTTCACAAGATAATAAGGATATAAAATCGGACTAGTTTGTGACGTCATAAAATCAAAAATTGTGAATGTACTACTTTGAAACTATAATATTTTCTGTTAATTTATATTTCTCATACAATTTATTGAAATCAGCACATTTCAGGAAGTTTTCAAAATTTGACTTCTGTGGGGGCAAATATATGCAACATACCGCAGATAGTTCTTTGGGAGCAGAAAAGACATGAACCTCTAAAATATTAAACATGGAATCAGGTGCCATGGGGATGAAGAAGTGAGCATCCCCTACCGACCGGTCACACCAGCCGTTTACTTTTCTTCCTTATCGAAATAACGAGAAAAATCCATTAAAAATTCAGTGTGTAAATATATTATGGTCTAACATTTAGTATATGAAAAACGCCAGTCAGTATTTGACTCAATGATAAATTGTATTTGCCGACAGGTCAGCTCATTGACCATAGAACTTCGGAAATGATGACTTTTAACGAGACTACTGATATTCCTGTTTCATGAATATATTTGTCAATAACTTATCTTACATAGATATTGTTCATACGTAAAGCATGCTCTAGCATATTGAATCAACTGAGAGATATAAACCCCATATGCAGGTGATAAAGGTATACTGCTGCATAAATAAGGGAAGTTGAGCATTAATGCTATACTGACACGCAAAAGAAATGCAACACCCCACTTTAGGGGGAAATAATGATATAAAGTAAAGAATTTTGCATCTTAAAATTATGGATATCTTCAATTTGGCAAACATCGGTAATTTAACGGTTGAACGATTTTCATACCATACCCGGAAGTCTGGTTTTAGTCTGCTTAACAGAAATAAAAAATTGCATGTTTAACAAAACATTTGGCAATATTGTGGAGTTTTAAGGCTTTTTACTGTTCATCATAAGTAATGCAGCAATATTTCAAAAAATAAACTCGTTTTCCATGATATTATTCGTTTTCACAAGAAACGATGCTAAGGCTTCTTGAAAATGGCTTAAGTACGCATTTTAATTGCTCTAGCTGGAAAATTTCAATGTAAAGGTGATGGAGAGTTGCCGATGCAAAAATTCACTATATTACGCCTCAACAGGGTCTTACGTATCATATGCATTAAGGAAGTCCTTGTACCGGAAGTAAAAGGGTGGCTACACTGCTCTAAGTTAGAGAAAATTCGACCTTATCATCTGAAAAACGGGTATTTAAAATTCCTTCGCTCAGATCTCGATATTGATAAACCTTCTGTATCGTAGAAATTAAGCTGCAATTGTTGTTTAGGACAGTCTTGCACGTTTTACTTGAATGGCTGGGAGGGGGGATTTAACAGTCATATGTTACTTAGTAAAGTAAAAAGATAAACATTTAACATTTTTATCAAATATCTGATGTTCTGAAAAGTGAGTTTTGCCTTACTGTGTTCATTTTTGAAAATCATTGGATGAAAAATCAAACATTTGTAGATTACTGCTTGTTGCGTTTCTTTTGCGTGTCAGTATATAAAATATGTGGTAAGTGTCTTGTACCTGTACACTCTGTCTGACTGTTAGAGACTTTAGTGTATCCACTCTCACACTGACAGATGTAGGACGGCTCTCGGTTTACACAGTTAGAGTTTGGTCCACAGTTGTTAGTCGAGTCGTTGTGACACTCGTTGATGTCTACAGAGCAGTCTGAGCCTGTCCAGCCAGTGCCACAAACACAGCCAATCACAGAGTCACAGAACAATGCACCTGCTCCACAACTACACTGGTTCTCACAAGAGCTTCCCCATCTGTCTGTCTTGTTGCAACCTGAGAAGCAATTATAGTTTAAAGATATAAAATATTATTATGGGGAAAAATTAACTTCAACTTATTGCATCAAAAAATATATAACTAATATATAATAAATAAAACAAAAATATACTTTATCATTACCATTACTAAAAATAGTTATTCAAAATCATAAATGCCATTGTACGTATATATCCGTGATCCTTATTTTTGTTAGTAAGATATTAATTAGCGAGACAAAATTTTCGCGAGCTGTGTTGTATATAATCCTTGATAATACAAATACAAGCATAATACAATCCTGTATAATACAAATAAAAGCAAGAATAAAACTTTCGCGAGAAGACAGACTCGCGAATATTAAGTTTTCATGAATAAAAAGTAATTTACAGCTCCCTTTCTTTATATTATTTATTCGTTTGCATGCAACTGCAAATCAAAAAATCGTATTACGGTAATCAGAATTCTATAGTTTGATGACTCTTTGACTTTTTATTAGTGTCTGATATTGACTTACTCTAACAGTGTGTGATAATGACTTACTCTGACAGTGTCTGATATTGATTTACTCTGCCATTGTCTGATACTGACTTACTCTGACATGTTTTCTTATCTGCCAGGAGGGAAGACCCTGCTGAACAAGAACAAAAGAATCCCCCTTCTGTGTTGTTACAAACTTCTGAGCAGCCATCTACAGACTCGGCACATTCATCAATGTCTACAAACAAAGGTACCATGTTTAGTGTAGAAATATTACTGAACAGTCTAGAATAATACAGTCATGTTAATAAAGATGAATATATGCAATTTAATATTAAAAATAGCTACATGTACAGGTTTATATAACATAAAGGATAAGGAGATAACGAACAGTATTCAATATTAAAGTCCATAAAACAATGAAAAAAAGGAGCAGAGCAAACATGGACCTCTTAAACATCAGAGGTGGGATCAGGTGCCATGGAGGAGTGAGCATCCCCTGCTGACCAGTCACACCCACCGTGTGCTCCTTGTCATGGTCGGGAAATATCGGAAAAATCCGTCGTCAAATCAGTGTATAAATAATGGACTAACAATTAGTATGAAACACGTCAGTCAGCATTTGACTCAGTGATATATTGTATTTGCTGACAAGGTCGTATCGACCAAAGAACTTACGAAATGATGACTTTAAAGGAGACTGCTGATATTCTTGTTTCATCAGCTTGTTTGTCAATAATTAACCTCGTTTTTGAAATTCTTCATACGTAGAGCATGCTCTTGCGAATCGAATCAACTGCCACATGCAGGTGATGAAAGTATATTGCTGCATAAGTAAGGAAAGTTGACGATAGAAAAATTAAAGTCATCACGTTTATCATAAAGCTAAGTTGTTAGATTACCATTAACATTATCCAAATATGAAACATTTTTGCCAGACTCTGTGGTATCTTTTATCTCACCCTCACCAAGATATATCGTATCAACATTGTAATGGAAATGACAACTGTTGATTGACGATACGTTGTCGATATATCGAAATGTTGAGTTGAAGGCAACAGAAAGTGTTTTCTTCTTTTCACGCATAAGATTGTGCACAAAATCTACTTCAAATGAATACATAAATTGGTCTGATAATAACGGAGCGCAATTGGTACGAATGGGAATTCCAATAGATTGTTTAAAGATCCGTTTTCCAAAAACCACAGATATTGTTAATCTGAAACTCAAGCCTTTTGTCAACTTTAGAGTATACTTGTGTGTACAATCAGAATGTGTTTTAACAAAATAATTTTGCAAAAATACAATGACCAAGGAAGTTAATTTACGAGTTCGATTTTCATTGAAAAAGAAGCTGTCAATGATATCAAAAAGCTTGGACTTTAATTTATCGTGGGGAATGGTTGTGAATGTAGTTTAAAAGTCGTTAGTTTTTAAGCTGTTCATTCTTTCAAATCTTGTGATTTCAAATTATCCAAAGTTCTTTGGAACTTTTTAGTATCCACATCTGATTCACACCACTTCTTGAATACATTGTAGCACAATACTCTTGAAGTGCTTCCTTCACTATTGTAAATATCTTAGTGAGGAGTAAAAAAAGAGGCTTGGTTGAACATTTACTGGAACCTGCAATGTATCTTTGTTTGTATGGATTCTTAATATGAAGTTTCGGAATCCAGTTTATATATCATGGTTCAAAATCATTTTGGTTCTTCGGGATATTAAAAATATTCAAAACAAAAAAGGGAACTTTGAGTATAAGTTGGATTACCACCTGTAGAATTAAATCCAAGTTCTTCTAACATACAATTCATACAATGAACCTTACAAACGAAGACAATGTTGTTGCCTGCTTTGTCAGCAGGGACCAGTACGTACTGATCGTGTTATTTATCCAATTCTTTTTTCACTTTTAGATTATTGAATGCAGAAGGATAAATGGTTTTCATATTGCCCCTCAATATTTTAATACGCGATATCAACATGGACCTGATACATAAAATCCATTCTGACAAAGTGTCAACGTCTTTTTTCATATCTGGCCCATCGGCTGGCGTAAACTTTAACAGAATCCATAACATTTATGAAATTCCAACGCCAGTTGAAGGATTGGAGTTCCCTATATTTAGGACCTTTTGAATTAAGTGTTCTAAAGTCTTCATTTTTAACTATATTTTCGTCACCTTTAATAACGGGTCCAGCAGGACTATTAATATAGGACGAAGAAGAATATAAACACGATGGAGGATTATGTATCAGATACTCGATATCAAGGCCATGTCAAGTTTTTTGTGATTGAAAAGTTTGGAATCAATGGTTGATGTATATTTGTAAGAAATACAATGTTAAGTCTTTAAAGGCAGAGATTTTTTACTGGCTGGTAAATTCCAGGTGAGGGAGGGGCTTATTCTGTACAGATGTGAATGCCTTGGGGGCTAGCAGTCTACCTGTGGTCATTTGTCTGCTAATCCCTATACACAGGAAGTGATTAAATACACAGTGAAATACCCCAGCTGTCAAACTTTACCTGTGTTGGGGATCTTGAGAAATTTTCTCTATACCACGTTCAGTAAACATCAAAGGATCAAAAGTTAATTTGAAGGTCCCCACGCGTGCCACACAAGGTGTACAGGGTATACACAGGTACTTCTAAGTAAATGTCAATCAAGTCCCAGCAGCCAATGGTGGACTTCATGCACTTGATTGACAGGGCTACCCAGACCAGGTACTTTTGAAGGTGGTGCTTAAAATCTCTGCCTTTAACTTGAAATATAGTGGAATATAAGAATGGACCCTTTCGTGATTAAGAATATTAGTTTTTACTTAGATTAACCGCGTCAATTCCTTTATTGGCATATTGAATTTCAAGGAAATAACGAGGTTTTTAGCTCCATTTGTTTCATTAAAACGTGCAGGTTTAAAAGGCCTATGATTTGCAATATCCATAATCACAGATCCGAGCCTATATTCTGGTTTCGAGGAATCAAAAACTGGACTTTCCTTGGCCTTTCAAGAACAATTTAAAAGTTTCAAAGGACAGAGTAAAGTTTGGTTCGAATATGATGTATACCTAACTGTTGATTTACATAAGGTAGTAAGGAATCAAAATATTTCAAAATTGCAAGTACAAAGTTTCCCCCTCCCCCATATATCATTAAAAGAAACTGTATTAAAACTAAAATAACTTAGAATTTGAATATCTGGAGTTGGAATACATTACTTAAATGAAAATGAAACAAAAACAATTCTGATCTTTTATAGGCCTAGTTTATAGACTCGGTACTAAAAGAAAATGTGTATACTAAGTAGACATAGTTGCATATCACACATACATGTACAAGGGAATATCAAAAAAAGTTCGTGGACTAGCGCCATAAAATTAAAACCGCTTTAGGTACATCAATTATCTTTAAAATATCTAGCTAGCATAATTTTTTCTATCTAAAGAATAAACCACAAATCATCTATTTTATTATTTAATAAATTAGTAATGTGTTTGTAAGCAATAGTATGTCCAGGCGGCGCAACCTCGAACACGACGTTTTTGCGACCTAAGTGTAATTGAGAAAAACTCTTGTGATATGAACATTTGGCATCCGAAAATCCCGTTAATCAGGTATGTGTTAGGACACAATTGTTCCATAAATATGAAATGTTTCCTTCATTCTGGAAGTTCTATGAAATTATATCGTAAATGTTACATGGAGTGTCCAAACAAATAAGGCTTTGAAAATGACGTTAAAAGGGGGAGGTGTTTCCTTTTCCAACATTATATAAAGGTTTGCCCTTGAAAAAAAAACTGGTATGGACCTAAGAAATGTTTAAACTGGCTACAGAAAAATAATACGTATCCAGAATACTTGTCTTTCAATGTCAAAATAGATTCAGGGAGAAAAGGGATGTACAGTTAATATCGATTTGTAGTCAAGGTGTGAAAAATCAAACACGTCAAAAAATGACGTTGATCAGTGTTGTAGATATTGAACTACCTAAAGCAAAATAAGCTGGCACAATCAAGCGAGGATTACTCCCAACGTATAAATCCATTTGGAAAATTATATTCATTGAAAGCCGCCGTTCATGACTTTGTAAAGACATATGAACAAGGTGAGTTTAAGCCCTTACTCAGCTCCAGGGAATCTCATAAAAATAAATGCATGCAGAAAAAGAAGCGGACATTGAAAACAATGACATTGTCTGACGAAACGAAACGGCGACAGCACCGAGTGATCATAAAACGTTGTTTTTATTTTATAATAATTTTGCAAATAATGAAGGTTTCAAGCTAAAATTTCCAACATTTCTTTATTTTTAGTTGTTTTATGTTCCACATGAATTTTGAGAGCACAAACTACATAGTACTAATTTTATAGCCACAGTCCAAGAACTTTTTGATAACCCCTCGTATATGCAGGTTCATTAATTTGGTACTGATAATAAATAAGATTTACAGCAGATTGGTACAATACCTGTACAATTTCTGGATGTTTGATTAAATTTATAGCCTTGGTTACAGAAGCAGTATGGTGATCCACAGCTGTGTTTTGTACATCCTCCTAAATTGTTATCACAAGTAATGGTGGCTCCTTCACAGGGATTGGAGGCTGTTTATGTACAAGAATGCACAACATGTTCAAATAAAATAATGGCGTTCAATGCTCTTTATAAATACGCTTTTAAATCCATCCACTCCTATAAGGCGACTTTTGGCATACATGTATTCATTCATGCATGTAAAAACTATTAAGAACTGTACAACTACTTGGAAATGAGACCAGGGTCTGCCGTCATAAAACATACTTAAGTCTGAGAATGCTCTCAAGTCTGAGAATTTTCTCAGATCCAAAATTCTCAGACTCAGCGGCCGTCATAAAAAAGTTGAGAAAAAAAATTCCTTAAACTCTATTTTATTCTCAAGTTCTCAGCTGAGTAATTCTCAAAACTTGAGCTGAGAATTTTTTTGAGATTTCTCAAAGTTTTATGACGGCGGACCCTGCTCCGAAAACTTGAACATACTCCAAACACATTTCGATCCATTCAAAACCTTCATCTGGTTATCTCTATCAAAATATATATTGGCTAAAAATCAATGTAGGACTTATAAGCTTAAGTAATAGGAAGAAAACTGAATCAAAATTTAAGTATGCCACCAGGGTCTAGTATATACCCTCTGACATAGTTATAAAGATGCATAGACACAGATTTGAAGCTAAGATTTTCTCAAATTTTTACGACTTGTATATTGCAATAACATTTCATTCGAAAATATGAATATTATTTCATCTAAAAGTTATTGAAACTTCAAATTTCTGGATGGGTTTGATTAACATATCCTTGCATTTTCACAAATTTAAGTTTTATTCTAAATACTTAGGAAAAGTGGCAATCTTGTTGTGTATTCATAAAAATATTAAAACTTTAATCAAAATTCAGAGAAGAAATGTTCAACATCAAAACCTGTGCACAGTATATTGTCAGTCTGTGCTCAGCGGTGTGTGCAGACTTAACAATTAACAATGAAACACATCCGGTGAATCGTAAACTTTAACAATAACAGAGCACCTGCAGTGTTTACAAAAACAGTGCACGTTTCCCGGGTGTTTTCAATTTGCAAAACTCTGTACACAACACTTAGCGCGGAATAACAATACTTGTGAAATGGTTTTGCTTTTATTTCTACTCTAAATAAAGTTATTGTTCTGGATAAAAGTTTTTATATATATTTCATTACTACACAAAACAAAATTGCCACTTTTCTTAAGCATTAAAAATTCAAATTTTAGAAAATTCAAGGATGTTTCAATCAATTACTTCAAGAAATTCAAAGTAATGTATCAATAACTTTGCGATGCATGAAAAAAAAAGATTTTAATTATATTTTCGTGTGTGATGCTCTTACATTATATATGTCGTGATACTATATAGAAAATTTGAGAAAATATTAACTTTAAATCTGTGTCTATGCACCTTTAAGGTGTCAGAGCTTATAACAATTTTCATTTACACAACACATCAAATATATAGTAACAAAATAATAACCTTTACCAATTAGCTGTGTTTTCACAAGATCAGTAACTAAGAAGCTCTATCTTTCCATGAGGATTACACATTTTTGAAGTTTTTGATAAGATTTTACCAGATAAACTTTTTCTTCAAAGATTGTCCTTGTCCGATATAGAGTTTCTGTCACTCAAATACCACATGCACCATTTATAAACACATGCACGGCTTAATTGTGACATAAGTTTTGATTTCTTTAGCGTTTTTAGTTGAATTAATTCGGATTTTTTCCGAGTATATCACAAAATTGCATCGTTATCTGCTGTTCTGTAACGTTCAACAAAGTCATCATTTTTGTTGCTTTCAATGAGGACTACTTATCTTCCCAAATTGTTTTCTTTTCAACGAATCAAAATATTATGCCATAATTTGGAATATGAAACAATGTAACAGTTCTTAATTTCCAAGTGTAGGATTTTCTCCCCTTTTTTGCTAAATTTTACAGAGAATATTACTACAGACATTGCCATATTTTTTCGTGTGTTGTTTGTGAATTATTAAATTTTAACCCGCTCCGCCATCCGATCTTTGCAGTTTTAAATTCAAAATAGGTTTGAAATTAATCATGATAGTTAAATATTTTTTAATACAAATTATTCGAATTTATTGCTAAAATAGTTCTATCAAATTTGATTAGCATACGACGTTAAATGAAAAAAAAAGATATGACAGGAGTTCACTAACTTTTTGAACAACCCACGTAGATGTATTTGTAACACAAGTTGTAACATACACAATATACAGCTTCTTCTGTCATCCTGCAGCGTGTACCCTATGTTACATTTACAGTTGTAACTCCCCTCGGTGTTGATACAATGATGATTACATTGATCTATCTGTAAGTCACACTCGTTCACATCTGAAATAATAAACATACATTTACATTAATTTTTTTTAAAGGAATTTAATTTCCTTGTCTTTATTGTATGAAGACACTAAGTGGGCATGGGTTTATATTCCCAAGGAAATGTTAAAATTTCATAGTGCAGCAAGATGTATCTTCTTTCACTAGGATATCAAATCCACTCGAAACAGTAATTTTCCTGCAATCAACAAAACTTTTGCCCCACAAAATTAAGCGATTTTACAGTAAGTTATATTGATATGTTCAAGCACATCTTAAATTCTACAGCATTAAAAGAAAGCATTATTCTTCAAAGGCCTGCATCAAAGGCCTTTTTTTTAAATAAACAAGAGCAAAACAAAGCTTTAATATAAGGAAAGTAAAAGACAAAGTGGACATGACAATAATTGACATCCATTTAATAATACATATCTTAGCATGTATCATGCTTAGATAAGTAAGCAAAGACAAAACTGACAAGAGCACATGAATCATGAATACCTTGGCACTGTCCAGTTGCATCCCTTTGGTAGCCAGATTTACAATCACATCTGTAGCTTCCTAGAGTGTCAAGACATACCTCTGTGTCTGTACAGTTATACAGAGACTCCGAACATTCGTCAATGTCTGCCAAAACATAAAATCACATTAGTATCAGAAAATAATAAATAAAAGTTGTCGGACATATACTATGGTAAGTAAAGAAGAAATCTGTTCTGATTCTGACTAAAACTTTACTATGCTTATATCAAAAGAACCTGTCATGATTTTTTTTTTCAATTTTCAAAATACAGTAAAACTCGGTTAGTACGAACACGGATATTGCGAATTCACGAATATAGCGAAGTTATCTTGGATCCCCAGCTATACAAATTAAGCGAATTTCTAATACGGATATAACGAATTACGGATATAGCGAAGTAATTTCATAGGTCCCAGTGACATCGTTATAACCGAGTTTTACTGTATGCTTAAAATATATGCTTGTATCAGTATACTAAGTTAAGACCTACTTTTACAATCTCCTGAGGTGTCATTCCTTTGGTAACCCGCTTTACACTGACAAACATATGACCCAGGAGTGTCCACACAATTTTCCAGTCCCCCGCATGGACCCCCATCCTGACACTCATTGATATTGGTCTCACAGTGGGTCCCTGTCCATCCCCCCTTACACTGACAGCCAAACTTTGGATCACAAGATAATGCATGCTGGGTACAGTCACATGACTGGTTACAGTTCACACCCCAATGAACAGCATCACAAGCTGCAAGATTAAATTATAAACACAAGTGATGCACATTACTTAGAATAACTAGTACACACAAAATTTTAACATATGAGAAATAACTGTAAAAAGAGCTTCATTTTTTCTGTGAAGAAGAAATTACCTGCACAGGATATTTTATCAGGCATCAGCTGGAAGCCAGGATAGCAGCTACAGGAAAAACCTCCCACTGTGTTGTTACATATATGGGGACATTTCTTTCTGGTATCCGCACACTCATTTATATCTACAGTCCAGAAATAATAGATAACCAATTTTAAAAATTTATAACATATTATAATCTATAAATTAGAACAATGTACAAATTGGATATATACCGTATAAGTGGAAATTTTAGCGAGACGCAAATTAAGCGATTTGTCCTTAAAAATTGGTATTTTACTTTTAGAGAAATGTAATTTCAGCGATTTTAAAACGCTCAGAAAAGAAGCTATTACAAATAAAGTGCAATCAATTTTTAGCAATATTCAATTTTAGCAATCTTGACACCCTCGCTAATAATGCCAAAATTAAATCTTCGCTAAGAATTCTGCCTATACGATATTGAAATATACACTCATTTTTTCAGTGCCAAAGTGCTTTTTGTTAGATCATTTAATTTGCATCTTCAAATCCATGTAAATGCATTGTGCATACCATTGCAACTTTTCCCATCTTGTGCAAGAGTATATCCCTCATCACAGTGACATTTTGGAGACCCAGATTCCAGTGTGCAGGAATGTGAACAATTGTATGCTGAACAAATGGGACTTACTGTATCTATAAAATTGAAAAAATCCAAAACCAAAAATGAAAATTTTTAAAATTTAAAAAAAAAAATTACCAGAAAATAATATTTATTCAAAATGCTCACTACCCAAGTTTCTATTTGAAAGACAAGCACCTTCTTCATTTGAAATTTTAATTTGGAGTTCTTTCAAATTAATATCTTGTTATTCAAAATGTATCATACATTCAATTTCATTTTCATTTACCACCACCATTAAAGATATGTATGCCGTGTTAAACAGTATTTTTGCACAACTGAAACCAAACAAAAATTTCTGAAGTATGATAAGCTATCAAAAATGAAGCATTCTTGCAAATGTGACGAAATATTATTCGGTATTAACAAAGTACTGGTCGGGAAAAGAACACGATATTCTCATGCATATTTATAAAGGAAATTTTAATTTGGATTTAAATGCATTTAATGCATTTATGGGTTCTATATTACACGAAAAATTCTCGGAAAGTTGATGTCCCAAGCATTTACACTTAATGCATTATGTACATTATTATCTAATTTCATGCTCATATTTGCATACAAAAAATTAACAATGATAAAAATTAAAGTTTTCCCCACTCCATTGTACAGGTCCGTTTGTTTAGAGTTTACCCGTGCTGTACTGCTAGTGAAAAGACAATTGCACGTGATTATTCCTCGGTACAAAAAGCAACCAACTCTGAGGTGTGCTCACGTATTGACAATCCCCTACTCACGTGTCTGAAGTAAAAACGTAGTAGACCATCATGCTTTTCGGTTCATTCACGAGATTGGACCATTGTTTGCTATGAGCATGCGAGACCACGTGATCATGAATATTTCAATAAGAGGCGGTTTATTATCCGATTCGGAGAGAAAATAATTTTTACCATTTCATAACTTTTAAAAGTGATGGAGTGGAATTGTCTTATTTGCCACACCGCATATATTTAATTCATTAATAGCATATATATCTTACCTGCTTGACATGTTTTGTTGTCTGAGTTCAAACTGTACCCCTCTCTGCAGTAACAAATATAACTTCCATCTGTGTTGTTACAGAGTTGCTGACATCCACTGGTTTGTTCATGACACTCATTTATATCTTAAACAACAGAATATTTAAATGTAGAATAAGTACTTATACATTTTTTTTAAACATATATTTCTCAGAATTCGAGCTTTCAATCAGTATTTTTTAAACTTCATAAAATACACAAGTTTATTTATGGATATAAAAAAAACCTGTGGTACCACCTTTTATGGTTTGATGCTGTGTTATTTATACATACCAAGACAGACCTGGTTCTGAGAGCCGTCGCTTCGATACCCTGACTTGCAGCTACAGCCAAAAGACCCCAGATCATTTGTACAAATCTGATGGTTAGAGCACTGACTGATATTGCTACATTCATCTACATCTGTTAACAAAAGTGATACATTCTCGGTTAGCTCTACTCCATATTATGCTTGTAGAAGACTAAGGAGGCTCAATACTTTATACATAAACATATTTTAAAGTATATACATGTATCCGCACTTAAATGCAATCCGAAATTACCATTCTAAGTACAAATACAAGTATGATATCTTAAAACTACAGATAATGAAATTTATTCACTTTAACATTAACTGAGTATTCCGTAACTCTGTTTTCATGTATATGTATGTGAATATGAACAAGCTATTTAATATGTCTGTTTCATACATATACCCCAGTTTGTTTGTAAACCTTCACAGTTATATATATGTATACATCAGATAAAGTTCTTGCTTAGATTTGACATACCAACACACTTCCTCTCCGTGCCGAACTGGAAGCCGGTTGGACACGCACTACACTGGAAGGCCACCCCCGTATTGCTGTGGTCCGCGGGGGAGTTGTCTGTACATGTAGAAGACTGACATGGGTTGTCATGACAACCATCCACGTCCACCGAGCAGTCAGCGCCTATAGCAATGGTATATGCATTGTAATTGTATAGATAAAAGGGAAAATCAAAAGCTTGAAAGGCTTCAATTGCGTCGAACAATTTAAGATTTCAATTTCAAAAGATTTGAAGATAAGTCAAGTGAGTGACTCTGGTAACATAGTAATAATATGAAAACTAGTTTTAACACAATTAAGTTTTGGGTCCTTGTGTCATGGTCATGGAGCAGGGTTCGAATTGACCAGACGCAGTCGGACATGTTCATGCTAAATATCAATCTAATTTCATTACAGTCAATTAAAAAAGTATGAAGGGTTTCTAAAGTTTATAAATTATTCTTTCTAATTGCCAATAACAAATTATTTTTTGACTGTTGTTATATATTATTATTAGGTCACCTGAGCCGAAGGCTCAAGTGAGCTTTTCTGATCAAAATTTATCCGTTGTCTGTCGTCGTTTAGGCGTCGTTATTCTCATAAACTTTTCACATTTTCATCATCTTCTCAAGAACCACTGGGTCAATTTTAACCAATTGTTAGAGAGTATCCTTGGGTAAAGGTACTTCAAGTTTGTTTAAATGAATTCGAAGGGCCAAGCCCTCTTCCAAGGTTAGATAATTATGAATTAATGAAAAATTAATGATAAATCTTAAAAATCTTCTTCTCCAGAACAGATGAAACTCATGTGGAAGCATCCTGGGATAGTGTAGACTCAATTTTATTCAAATCTTGACCCCCGGGGGTAGGGTGGGACCACAAAGTTTTACATGGGAATGTATAGGAAAATTCTTTTAAAAACTTTTTCTCCAGAACCAATTTGGGCCAGGAAAGATGAAACTCATGTGGAAGCAACCTCAGGTAGTGTAGAATCAAGGTTGTTCAAATGATGACCCTCTAGAATAGGGTGGGGTCACGATGGTTGATCAAAGTTTTACATAGGAATACGTAGAAAAAATCTTTTAAAAATCTTCCTCTCAAAATCAGCAAAGTCATGATTGGTGATATTAATATGGAGACATCCTCAAGAATTAAATTTCCTACCTTCATATCCAATGTTACAGATGCAAGGTGCAGTAAACTGGTTGGGTGTTGATGTTGATTTAGGGTGATCAAAGTCACAGGTCCCATTACCAGAACAGCCAGAACATTTGACAATCGTCATTGTGAGAATGTTAGAGGCAGATCCCATGTCGTCAACAGCCCAGAAACTAAAGTAAAGATATTACTCAGTTACAATATATATATATATATATATATATATATATATATATATATATATATATATATATATATATATATATATATATATATATATTATTCCACAATATTGCTAAAGAATATCACATGCAAGAGTGTAGCGAAAAGGCTTAAGCATATCATATGTCGGGTGTAGCAATGAGGCTAAAATGTATCATATATATTATATGTAAGGATGTAGCAATAAGGTTAAAGTGTATCTTGAGTACGGGTGTAGCAATAAGGTTTTGAAAGTGTATCATAAGTAAGTGTGTATCAATAAGATCAATAAGGCGTAAGTTCATATGTAAGGGTGTAGAAATGCGTCAAGATACATTTGGACAGCATCATGAAATGTATACTATCTTAATGCCCCTGTAGACGAAGTTTGGGGGGTATGTATTTTTTGTCGTGTCCGTCTGTCTGTCTGTCTCTCTGTTTGTCCGCAAAAACTTTAACCTTGCTCATAACTTTTGATTTACTGGAACTATGACTTTCATATCTCACACGTGTATTTCTTGTGACAAGATCTTTCTTTGGGTACAACCAAATTTGACCTTTTGCCCTTGTCCTTGGAGTTTGACCATTTTTACACAAAAATTCCAAATTTTACTTTGGCCATATCTTTTGAACAGTAGAAACCAGGTCATCTATACTTCATATATGTATTCTATAAGGAAAGACCTTTCAACGGATACAAACAACCTTGGCCTTTTGACCTTGAACTTGAAGATTTCTATACTTATGGAAAAACTTTAACCTTGGCTATACCTTAGAACGGTAAGGGATAGGGCTTTAATACTTCACATATGTAATCCTTGTGGGAAGTCCCCTCACTGGATTCCAAGATCTTTGACCCTTGGACCTACTTTTTTAAAAATCTAATCTTGGCCATAACTTTTCAAGGGTAAGGACTAGGGTTTCCATACTTCATATATGTATTTTTTATGGCAAGACCTTTCATTGGATATACCAATGACCTTGATCTTTTGGCCTTGGCCATGGATATTTTCATGATTATAAAAAGCTTTGGGCTACTTTCATATTTTGGAATTGTATTTCCAGTGA